AGCTTCCCACATTCAGAAAAGTGCATTCTATTGTAAATACTACACGACTCGATCAAATTCTCTATTTAACCATAAGCTCCGTTATTCGATCCCATTACTTTCCCCAATGGACTGCCGTCAATAGGATCCAATGCTGTTAACACTTCTAGTAGTATACGTAAAGTAACTTCATATCAGTGCTTCTAAGAGAATGTCAAATTTCGCAATGCCACACACACACATGCACACGCGCGTATATTTCCGGGTACGCTGATTTAACTAGAATTTTCATGAGTTTTACAACCACAGACTTGGCATCACTGCGTGGTGTTATATATCACAAGGAGGATCAGGGTAAAGTATATACAAGTCACGATGACCGGTGTAGAGAGATCCATAATTCTTTTATAGGATTGTTCTCTTGCGATCCGACAACAGACGCATGACTGGTGTAGAGAGATCCATAATTCTTTTATATAGGATTCCTCCCTTGCGATCCGACAACAGACGCAGCTATAAAGCATACTATGCTGCCATGCATAAGTCGTTGACACACAGAGATTATTCAAAGGAGGTTTTTCAATTCAGTTCTTGAAACAAGATTTCATAATAAGACCTGTTGTATGCAATGAGACTCCTTTTGTAGAACCTTTTTACTATAGCTCTGAGAGACGCTTAGAATGGCTCTGCTATGATGCTTATAATTAGATTTTAACCGTGGTATGACGTACTGCTAGTGACTCTTCAATTTTATTTCGATTCGCAAGTAACAGTGGAAACATTAGTAGGCCCGGTTCATGTTTCTTAATAAAACCAGTTAAATTTGGAAATTTCATTGATTTTACTTTTAAACTGAAGAATCTTTTTGTTACCCCACAAAGTGGCGAAAGCAAGCCTACATATATAGGCTTAAGAGTAATCCAATGGGGGTTGCCACTTGTTGGCTCATCTCCCTTGACAAGTGTTTCATGTTTGTGTCACAGCGGTTATATAGAGCACTAGAAATTGATTCCTGCAACGCGAGTTTTTTGCGTTATATTTGCATGCAAAAAAAACAATGTATTTCGACCAAGACCGCATGCTGACGCACGCTGCCGCACGATGATGGCCTTCAAAGAGGCATGGTTTTGAAAATCTCCGATTCCTGTCGTTCACTAGCTGTGCAGTGTGTAGGACGCACTACCGGTGTAGTAAAGAAATTATCTTTCTATATTCTTATACGCTCAATTAATACAGCTATCGATGTAGTCTCAAAACTACGTTCGCCATAGCTGAGACAATTGAATCAGTACGATACATGCAGGTATATGAACTGTGTTTGTCCACTGTGTTTGTCTGATGATGATGGTGCATGTTAATTACATCCATGGAGATTTGCAGGTAATGCTTGCAAATGGTACCTATATGCTGACGCTGTCTGCGTGAAGGTAATTGCATTATGTTTATAATATTATAAGCATTCGACATTAGCAGGGTTCAGACGCAACCTTACTATACCTATAATATGAACAAGACAACTTATACATTATATACTGTTGTACTTCGAAAGAAAAATCCCACGAGTCACGCAATTCCCACGCCACCTTTCTTTGAACTGCTAGTTGTAAATACATAGGATAAAGGATGCACTTAGAAGGAAAATGCATGTATAATATAATGTTCGCTGTGAACAGATTTTACCGCTAAAGACACCAGACTGATTGAAATTTCGAAACAAATCTACAGTTGATGTTGACCAACATCATAAAGTTCATTATTTGCAATTATATCATCTTATTTTATTTGTGATGAAATCATCACTTCAATGGAATCACAATCATAGACCCACCACGTTTGGACAACATTGATGACAAATGTTATTGTCAGATGATTCCTCAATTCTTAGACATGTCTCATCGGGATTTAAAAAACAAGGGAACTCCAATGTTTTAAGGCGTATTAATTCAAGCTAAGGTTTCTATAGACTATACTATTTGGCGGCATATGCACTTGGATCATTTCTCCTTCGGACGAAAAAAACTTAATCAGGTATTATAAAGAATGCGTGACCCGTGATCTTGCTTGTGTCGCATGCATGCATGTAAGTTTTATTCATCTGCACGCATCGTAAATAGTCTGATAGATAAATGCTCGCCCAAGTCACGTATTCACTGCAATTAAGGAAAGGCCATTTGTTATATTACTGGTCTAGCGTGGTCCACCGTCACCGAGTAGCTACTTTGGATTAGTTTGCATACGAACAAAAGCTTCGTTTATTGACCAAATTATTTTTAGCAAAAGCTTCTTGTCTAAGTAATATTTTTATTTATGTAAGAAGATTTTATTGATTTCTTTAATAACCAATAAGTGCATGGAATCCCACACACGGCACGTTGGTATTTGTTAACCAGTTAGAATCGATTCGTATGTAGCTATAGCTTATTCATTTTCTGAATTGTGCGTGTTCACTGTGACTTGATAGAATTTTTGTTGCATTGCAGTCATTTTTTTATTGCATTAAGTCATGCAGGCTCGACTGCACCATGCAGACGCAGTATCATCAGATTATACTCTAATCTTGTGATATCTCGTGATAATTCAACAACGGATTTACGCATGCACGGTTCATATGGAAACAATATTTTCAAAACAGATTTTGGGATCTATGATCCTTTATCTCAACAGGAGCATGTTATCCAACTTGAACTCGAACATGGTTTCGTCTGTATTTATAAACATTTTGAAAACGTTTTTTTAACACCGCATGCTATCTTTATCGTCAAGGCATTGTATATAGTGAGTAATTTTAGAATTCCTTATCTATTCGGAGTCTTTTATAAATCCATTGAAATTTTAATTCTATATATTTTCAATGTCGGAATCGTGCTATAAATATATACACAAATATCTATAGAAAGTTAGGATTAATTTACTTATAAAATTCCTAAATAAATAAGACGTGCATCTGAATTATCGGATCAAATTGTTGATTCGTTCTACCCTTACAAACTGCAAGTCTCGTGTAATATTTCCTATGCGATGAGTGCAGAGTGCGGTGGTCAATAATATACCAATTAGCAAAACTATGAATGACAAATCTATTTGCTGACGCGTTCCGGGCAACCGCACAGGGAGGCGGGTTACAAAAACACTTCTGGGCCTCGCCCGTTCCGCGAGTTGCCCTTCAAGTGTCCTTTCCATTCTCTATTGTTGTTCACCGCATTCATTTTAGACAATTGTGTTTGTGAAAGGATAACTCCGACAGCGGAGGCAATTAGCTATATATGATGTCAAAAAAAACACACAGCAATTCCATCCGCGCAAAACAATTGAACATATACGTCTTTATGACTCTGAATGAAAGGAAATGTCGCTTGCGAACACTCCTTTCACATAATTACTACGTATACTCAAGCTGAACCGATCAGGCGTTTCTTATTACTAAAAAACTGTACTAGTCGACAATGAAGCTATACTGCAAGGAGAACCGCGATTACGAACAGAGGGAAAAACCAGCGATGTTAGCTACCGGTCTGGTCGTAACCCTTTGGTGTCAAATTCAAGGCAATCTTTTGGCATGTGACCAACAAGAAATGATGACCAGTCATGCAGGCAATTACATACTTTGACATATGGAGGGAATTGAGCCCATTCTTGAGCGAAAGCGCTCTGCAACAAGCATTCAAATGATAATTCAACGACAGATATCGCTGGACAAACACTCTCCGTTGACAGATACAGGCGTATCGCACCCCGTCATTTGTCTGCAGCGGGCCTTGCGCAAAGCTGTGCATACTTGCGCGAAATATCCCGATTTTAAAATGATGTGTTGGTATAGGACCGCTGAAACGGTAACGAGCTCTCCGATTGGCCCGAATACAAGCAGATGACTTGTCTTTGATTCAAACTTTTTGAAATCGATTGGCAGGAAAGCGCACAATTCGTACACAATTATTCTGAATCATGGTAATGTTTTGTTTGATTCAACCGCCGTTTAGCAGGTCACTGTAGTCAAATTCCATGGGCCTGTTGATTCGTCTTCCGTAAAACGCTGCGTGCAATTTTGCGTCGAGAAAAATGTCTGTATTCGCTGATACTAGCGACGCAAAATCAATGCGCGCTCTGTCTTCATTATGAATACGAGGACAGTCTGATGGATGGATGTTTACAGCTAACCACATTAGCACATCCTTATTTACAAACATAAAGTGACTGTCGCACAATGGTTATTACTGAATGTTCGGTAGTATTTAGCCGCGAAACACGTACTAATTAATCATGAGCATTATTTTAATACGACGCGGATTCTATGTACTCTGCACTACGAAACCATAAATCAGAATTAAGCACTTAAGGTGTATTCCAGCGCGATAGACTTTGAATTTTACACCACATAGCCGCGTAAAAACACAGCTGTATCATATCATAGCTATCGCTGCACTTTTCCGCCGTCTCTTAACAAATGAGCGTTAAACAAACGCGCGTATGGAGCGTTTCTAGTACGACTGATATTTTTGTACAGTTATTTATAAAGTGGCTAATTGCTACGAATGACTCTCATCCTAAGAATTTGCCCTAAGAATAACCTTCGAGCTAAGCCAATATACTTGATGGATATTAACATGTGCGTGTTATACATAATCGAATTTGACGCAAATTTCAATGATTTCAACAAACATTACAATATAATTGTTTCGGAATCTTTTCGCCCGATGGCGTAAACACTGACATTGGACTGGTCGCACTGCGTTTTCGGGCTCGACATTTTTCGTTCTGTACGAAATGGAAGGAAGGGGGATTTGATTGATTTTCACATATGCGTGTAATCATATTTGATGCAAATGAGAATGTAATACTATATAATGCAATATAAACTAAGATCAAGTCATGATAAGCAGTGTTCTTTTCAAAACATTTCAATTACAGTATACTTTGCTGAGGTTCCAATATGCATGGCACTCACTGCGATTTTTTTCTACCACACACACCTCTATCATCGGCAAGACTGGCATAAAGCGTTCTATTATACTCATAATGCTTACCCTGCTTTTCCTCAGGTGTTGAATAACTCGGCGTCTAAAATAGAATGATCGTACGCGGTTAGAAAAACACCTTTTCTCGATATCTTAATTGTCCAGTAAAACGGTACGATTTATAACGCAAAAGAAATATCCAACTAAGTGGAAGTTTTCAATCACCTTTTGTTGCCCAAAACCAATCGCCGTCTGCGTTGTAAATAGATTGATAACCAACACGATACACGAAAGTAGATTTGAAACAAGCATTGCCAACTTTGCGTTTGTGGCGCTGCCACTTGTGTAAAAAGTCTGAACAAGGCTAACTCTTGGATGCTTTCGCCCGACGAGCCTCGAGCGACGTTAAGTTGGTGCTGTTCGACCTCGAAGCGGATACGGTTTTTATAGCGGAGATGGCGAAACCTAACACCCTGTATGACCGGAAAGCATCACTCAGTATTTGCATAATAAGTTCGTAAATTCACATGTTGTCGAAATCACAATAATTCAATAGGCAATATCCTTGCCAAACAGCTCGTGAAAGCACAAAGAGCACGACTTGAGTGCAGCACGAGTAGAATTCTTGTGGATTTGGTAGGGTAATAATGACGGAACAAAATGACACAGCTATATATTTTATTAAAATATAAAAGGGCAGCAACTCCGAATAGCATTTTTTGTTGCCTTGTTAATGAATCTACGTTTCCAAAAAAATTAAAATTATCATCGAGAGATATAGATCCTTTAAAATTAGAAAATTTTATTTCTATATAGTAGCTGTTCTTACGTAATTGTGGTAGCTTACGTAATAATATATGACTGGGCAATATTTGCCGTAAAGTTTGAATTCACTTGAATTTTCATGTATTTTATATGAAAGATTACATCGTAGATTATATTGCCCATTATACTATAACAAAGTAATTTGTATACAAATTGCTCATTTAGGCCTGTGTTTCAGATAAAATATATATATATATATATATATTCCCTCTCGCTGGGAACAACAGTTAGTTTTAACTCCCACAGTTAAATAATCGGATTTTTGGGTATCTCGTAGAGAACTACACGTTTTGTATAGCTGATCCAGTCCACCTGTTCAGGTTTTATCCTGAGTACCATAAGACAACACGTTAGATGAAAGAGGGTAATGTTAATTCATCTCAATGGATCACTATTAGCCTGATGGATCTTAATTCCTACTCAATCGCCCAGTCAAAACTACTTGAATCTCGAAAAAAATATGTAATGCGAAATAGTAGAACGGTTTGATCAACTGCTAAAAATACACACGTATTCAGGTGTATTGCTAATAAAACGTGCATTTATGTACACTTATATATAATGAATTATTTTCATTTTGAACTCTCTTTGTTTTTCGATAGGAAACCTGTTGATGGTTGCTAGCGGATGAACTATAATGTAATATTTATTATTTGCCGGAATACTCGCATAAACAAGCTGCTACCTGTATGTAGGGATAGTTCTAGATATGATCGTATCTACGTTATAGGTAAAAGCCCATTACCGGTGGATATTATGTCCCGAAAAGTGTTTGATTAAGGACGAGGAGTATGAAGGCAAGGTTGAAGGCAAGTTAATTTTTTTGCGCAAAACGTGGTATGATATAAGCAGAAATTCAGAAAATAAACAACACAGATTCAGGTTCATTATATACAACACTGGCTAAAGAGATAAGATATATCGAACAGAGAAAAAGGCTGGCAGTTTACTTAGTTTATTAAAGTGGCAATTAATATTGAGACATATTTGATAGTATGTATTTCTTTGAGTTCAGTAAGAAAATACTGAGAAATTTGTCAGACATTGTATACATGCATGCGTTCTGACGAGTTGAGCCTTCGTCGCCTGAATGCGTAAAAAAGCCGATGCGATGGGGATAATTAGCCTTTCTTGCCGAGGACATGTCCATCATATTTCGGATACTGCATTTTAAACTCAAAGCATACATGACATGGCGAAAACAACTTCTAACTCCGTTGCGTTGTAATTTCATGTGGTCTTAAACTATTCTCCTACTTAGGTTATAAGCAAGACAGTATCTACATGCACTAAAGTATGGCAAGAATTTCTAGACGTTTCGCTCAACACACACGCTAGAACACCGATACCGTATGAGTCGAAACGTCGAGATGATTTTTTAAGCGCAATTAGGGCTCGATTAGGGCTCAATTAGCGGTTGATATATAAGATTATAAGTATAGGTAGAGGTTGAGGTTCACTTACTTTTGATTAATAAGGTTATTTTTTAGATGAAATAACCGCGCATTCTCCCACGTTTTTATTTCAACTCATTCCCGTAAAAAAAGGGAGAGCATCCTGATGATCGATGTGAATTTACCGGAATTATAGGTGCGTAATGAAAATGGTTTCACTGCGCGCATGGAACGCGAGAGTGATAGAGTTGATGAACTCGGCCTGAACTTGAGACTTGTTGTCTCTGATTCGTGTTTGACAATAGTTAGCTCGGTTCTAGTTTACCTTCGCTTTCATTTTCATCTCGATACACCGAAATACTTCTCATTAAAATATTACTATACTGTATATGCATGTCTTATCAAAATATTCATATACTGTACATTGGGGTACCGTACGTTTTTTGAAAGTTCCTGTTTGAAATATACGGCTATTCCACGAAAGCATTTTAATATAAGTTAGCATTTGTCAAAACAAAATTTTGGCAGCCCTATCACCGAAGAGTGACTATAGAATTTTTTGTCTATTCTATAGTTATTTACCATGTTGGTGGAGTTCATTCGGCTATGCATTATAAGTATCCCTTTCTATCGATTTTCCGCTCACATTAATATCAAATTGAATCGAGAATTTAAGTTTGGTGAAATTTAAAAGTAAAAGTAACATCAGTTAGGCCTATTTCCTTCCAAAGAATCCACGTTTATAATTTCTATATAACTATTTCAAGGATATTGATTGATAGCAATATAATATTCCAAAAACTTTCTTTATTCAGTCTAAAACATCGAATTAAAACGAAAAATTATATAAAGGAATGTTTTTTTATGATGTACATGATTTGACATTTAATTTGTTCAACACAGACCAATATGCTGGTTAAACCAGCTGATATATCACATGAACAAGTTTTAATTACTTCTATTTTCAAACAACTTGTTAAACAACAGAAAAACGGTAAGTAAACATTTCCTTTGTTTTTGGTTATGCAAATCTCGTATTTCGAGTGTCAGTGTGACAGTGTCTGTATAAATAGTAGCTAAATAGTCAATTTAGTAAGCACTTAATTTAACCTTTCAATTCTAGCTCTCTTTCACTGAGCTCATAGTTCAATGTTCCCTAATTTTCTTCCAGTAGGCCGGTGCGAAGGATTTGCAGCACTTAAGCTTTAGACCACAAGTTTGATTCCCCGCCGCGGCATCGAACCTGTATATATAAATATATATATATATATATATATATATATATATATATATATATATATATATATATATATATATATATATATATATATATATATATATATATATATATATATAGAACAAACTTCCTTCACTGCTGTGAGGTTTCTCATGTCTTGATTGATAGCCTGTTGACGTAACATTGCGTGCAAGATGTAGCAAGAAGGCAATATAATCTTACGATTTCGAGCTTTTGTGGTCAAGAAACTCCTGATCAAATATGGAAACAAATGACAAACAAAATTTACCATGTAACGCGTCACAGATTTCTAGTGAGTCGCCAATTACATACATATATAGCAATCGGTATACGCGATTGTCTATATTTGGCATTGTAGAGCTCGCATGCAGAAAGAATTATAGGTCATATATATATCCAGGATATAGAAATGCCAAAAGAAAGCTTTAGCATAGACGTACTTCTGCCATTGTTCTTTTGCCAAGGAGGAACATTTGCGATAATTGATAGTTACTTACACGAGTGGCACTTGTACAGTCTGCACGAGGGGCGTTGGCTTGGCTAAACGGCTCGAATATGTCACGAAAGCCATGTACATGCCGCAAAAAGGATGATTTAACATCGATAAAGAAGACTTTTTAATCGCCAATTTGTTTTGTCGAAGATTGAAATCCGCAGGAAGGGCTGGACAAACGAAGCAAAGCCTTGTAATTATAGCTCCTACAACAGACGAGCAGATATATTGGACGAATAAATCTGGGCAAAAACAACTGGAATATTCTCAAAAACATCCGACGCCAATACCATCAAGTGTTGGTAATAAATGATGCATACCATAACGTAAAGTTAGGTAAAATACCACGCAATTGTGGTATGGTACATTTATTATTTTATTAGGGTAACGATCGAGGATCTAAATCTATCCTATAAATTTGAAGATAGTTATATTACTTTTGTAAGTTTTATGATTTCCTATATAGCTTGCATTAAAAATCAAATTTGATTGAATTGTTGTTGTCAGTATGTAACCTACAATAGGCTCTTGAAGCCTAGACAGATAGCCGGCTTTGGAGCAACAATGTTTCCATTGCCAGTCATTTGAATGTATGGATATAGTTTATTTCTCCATAAACAAATTACGTATACCTTTCTTCCAAAATAATGAATTGCAACATATAAAGTCGCAATTCATTCAGTGGAAGAAGACTTATTTATAACCGTTCAAGGATTTATAGTAGTCTCAGTATACTCTATAAAAACTAAATCAATAAAGGCAAGCTTACTAGGTATAGATGATGTCAGATTGTAAACCGCTATAATTAAGGTAATGCAAAATGAGCTCATATATAAACTGACATGCAGTAACTGATATTCACATGATATCGATTGTTTGCGAGCATCACAAAAAATCTTCAGAAGATGAAGAAAAGTATTATATATATATATATATATATATATATATATATATATATATATATATATATATATATATATATATATATATATATATATTATATATATTGCATAGACTTAAGTTTGTATTTACCAGGCGTTATCTTTTGATGATTTCCAACTGACTTATTTAATTTTCTTATATAGCTATTCTTGTAGAGACAAAGTCCCAAGTGAACGAGTCTATATATATTTTTAGCGGTAACCTATGCATTATTCTCATAAAGGAACGAAGCTCTGATAATGTTGTGAGCCAACACAATGAAAGTGAATTATGATGATTGTTATGTAAGTTACATTTATAAACACGCTGTTATAGGTCTTATTTTAAAGACATTTGCCGGGTAATTTTTTTTGAAAGTATTATGTATACCCAACTGCAATAATGACCGTTTACTATAGCTTTGATGCGCCATACTGTTAACTAGACAAAAGTTTAAAATAACTGCAATTAACGTACAAAGAATTTTTCGCAGCTACAGGAAGTGGTATAATACTGAGCCATAGGAAACGGGAATAGCTGGAGAAAATCTGTGCAGGATTTAGTAGTTTCGAACCGGAATCGGCTCATACGTGTAAATAGACTGTGCGTATGTAGCTACATCCAACAGTTGCTGCCAATATTTCGCCTTTCAGAAAAACACTGACAATTGTAGAATCACCGTCAAGTAGACGGGTTTCGTCCTACCTAGTCCGAGTTTCATTTCAATACTATGTCGTATAACTGACAAATTAAAGTATGCAAAATTATTAGATATAGAATGCCTGTTTCGTTTAAATCCAATTGATCAGCACATTTTTTGTCAGTATGCTTGCTTTATGATTCCGGATATTCAATCACAGGCAAGTGTATTCAACATCCTATTCTACATAAGCTAATAAAAGTGGATGTCCTCGATAACTTAAGTCTGTTTGTATTCTATTTTCAGCCGGTTATTTTTAATTAAAGGAGAAAATGGGAAGAGACGTTACTGAGCGGAAACTCTCGCGCGAATTGTTCGCCTCTGCTGTTCTCAAATGCGATTTTCAATGCATTCTTACGTAAATCTGCATAAACAGCCAGGGCTGAAAGAGCCTAAGAGGTGATAAAATAAAGTCATAAAGACCGTTAAAGTGGAGTTTTGTACCTGACGATGTCTATTGTATTGAGCCTTACGACAGTTCTTCGTTCACGTGATTATTCTCCCTCTCAGTATAAAGGAACTTAGACGATGATTACACAATTAGCCTTCAGTCTCACGATGACGAATGTGCCGCCATTTTTGGGGTACTTTTTTTTTAATTGCGAGCGCAAGACCTTGTCAGGGCGGATGTCTTTAATTTTAGGCTTCGTTTATTGCTCAAATGGTCTATTGACTCTTAAAAAAATGCGTCTTACGTTGCCATTAAAGATTAAACGCATTTAAAAAAATTCAAAGTACCCCAAAAACGGCGGATATTCGTCATCGTGAGAAAGGCTAATTCATTTACAGAAATTTCTTATTTCTGAGATATTTGTCAAGAAAAAACACGTACTAACCGCCAATGCAATTAGATCGAATTATTTGATTTTACAGCCAGGAGGGCAATCAAAATTATGGTTAAAATATGGTTGCTATTTGGCGCTATTTAGCTACGTATAAATACGGCGTTTTCTTAGTATCTTCGCTGTGTTTTACCATGGCACACTGGCTGTACCGTTAACTGTGGCTTTACTTTACTTGAGATTTGAGAATGGCTGAGATGTCCAGTTTACTTAGAGTTCACCGGTTAACTTGATCGTCGACTTCCGGTTTGTGTTGAATCGAGACATAAACATGGCGTCCAAGTGAGCGACGACGATTTCCCTTGTAATTATATGAACATAAACGAAGCCAGTCTTATTCCTGGAATCCAAAATGTGAAACATTATTTGTAGCATCGTATGTAGAGTACGGTAGAGACGGATGAATGCATTAGGGATGAATAAATAAATACAATAAACCGAATTAAATCGACTAAAAAAATGGGCGAGTTTTCGATTAGTCTTCCAGAGATCGGACATCATATGGGTTTCGGGGGTTATGGGCAGAACTCTAAGGGATTTCAGACTTTGCTACACGGCATTGGCGGTGCAAAAACCAAACATGTAAGTAGGTAGGGTATTGCAGGACTCATAAAGTATGTTCTCTAATATTTAGATATTGAGATCTTTGATAAATGATAATTGATTGAAGAGTTAAGTTTGACAGATACTCTTAGCGATTAGCTATGAGTATCCTTACCTAATGGTCAATTTCAGAGATGATGCAATTCTTCTATTCAATTCATTTTTTTAATAATAATAGTTGATAGCAATCAAGTGATTCACAATAACCTGTGCAGTTGATTATTATTGCATCTGTAACTTTTCAATTACAATTAAAAAATTTGTAAACACACAATGTGTAAATCCTATAGCTCTCAAAATAAGTCATTTGACCTAAATTGACCTTGTGCATTATAGACTAGTTTACGATCTGCGCAACAAGAAGAACATACTAAAATTAGTACAGTTGCAAAGTTTCGTTGCAAATTTGTGAAAATATAGCTAAGTTAGGTTTCAAAATTTTATATATCTTTTTGCATTATTTGTAAAAACGTATAACTAATTCAATTACACATTTAGTTAGACATTTCTGCACCTAATACAAAAGTATACCAAATATACAACTGTTCAGAGTTGTACACCTTTCCTTCAAAATATTTAGATTTTGTACTCTCTGAAATGCATTCATATTATCTTTGGACTTTGAACTTTGGAAATAGTAAGATAGAGGCTTGAGTTTCACTCTTTTAGTTTTGCTTTTACTATGGATATATGAAAATGATAAAGAATAGGTAACTTAATTTTGTCTTTCCAATCATATTCCATTCTTAATTTCCTATTTCTTAGAATCTTTGCCAATTTCGAAGTATTGCAGTTTTTTTGACCATTTGTTTTCTTTGTGTCCACACTCTCAACAGCTGAGGCTGGAATGTCTGACAGTACCTATATGTGTATTGTCAAACAAATGTGGGTTTGTCATACATTGGTGATTTCTTTTAAGTACATGATACCAAACCATTTATTGCAATTACGTTTTCTTGAATGGATGGTTGAACCTGGCTAATTGAAGAATTAACTTTTTTCCATAAGATCACGATCTTATTTTTACGGCCAGATAATTTGTTCCCCAGAGACAGTAAAATGAAAAAAAACTAAACATATATTTACCAGAAAAGATAAAGAAAAACTGAAATAAACAAACAAGTATGGAGGCAAAAAAATTACTACTATGAAAATATAATGAATTTTCGTCGTTGTAAAGCCTGTCTGATAGTCAACTAAAAACCCCTTAGCTTGAAATGTCGGGCAAATTCAAGTCGAATAATGGCAATGGACCTACATATAAGTAGTCTTACGGAAATACTAGAATACCTTGAAGATGGTTTTCCAGCATTTCCGAAATTTCCAGCCATTTTTCACAAACGAAATTTCAGCGCTCCATGAAGTAAAGTTTCTCGTGGACGAAATCGATATGCGACGCTTACTTAGTAAAGCAGTGCAAATCAGTAATTTCATGTATATTTTAACGAAAAATGCATGTAGACATCGTGCGTTTTGAAAAAGCATGCCCTCGTAAGTTTTTCCAAGACATTAAACTGCACTCGTCCGGTAGACTTGTGGCTGTGCATTTTGTATTCGAAACGATATTATTACTTGTTTGAAATGTCTAAAGTCACGAAAAACAGAAAATATTACAATAATTAACAACAGTGTACGGAAATTAAACTCTCAGGTAGAAAGCTTTCAGCGCGGTAATGGAAATTAATTTATGTTTTCCAATATTACGATTGTGCTGTTATGCGAGTTATCATAGTTTTTGTTTTTCTCGACGTTTATGCTCGAAATTCGGCGACTAAAATCTCATTTTCAGTTTTATGGCGTACGTGCCTGGTCTTCAGTTTATACATGCATGTTCTTAAGACTTAAGTTTATTGCATTTTCAATTTATGAAGCATTTCGAAGTTTCGTGAAATATCTTAATATGCAATTAATGCGTCAACTAAACTTTGCTTCAGCCATAATACTATAATAGCCCGTAAACGTTAATCAGCTAGGATTTTCATTCCAAAAGTAAAACTTGACCGTCATTCGTCTTAAATATCGTGAGAAATTCGGTATTAAATGTCAATGTTAGAGTTTAGCTCGTATTCTCAAAAAAAACAACTTAGTATATGTACCTTTCCAGCTGGTATACATTAGTCAATGCAGTGTACGTGTTTCAAAATAGCGGTTATATATAATAGTAAAAAAGCTCACCATGTTGAAATCACCGTGTATGCTTGCAAATAATGGTAAATATTTAATCTGCATGGAAAAAATATGGCATTCTTCAAAGCTTTACTGCATGGGTTGAACATTTCTTGTGAAAAGCGAAGAGTATCTTGTTAAAAATATGAATGCGTCCCATTTCCTCTCGCTTTTAATTAAGCAATTTTGGAAACAAATTGCGCCTAAGTGGATTGTAGCTATTTTTTTAGTTATGTTTTTAAAAGAGGTGACTCATGGATAAGAACTTCCATAACTATATATATGTCGGTATTATTTTACAAACATCGTTTTTGCACTCGAGAGTCACGGAATAATTGAAAAATGCTTAGCTCCTCAGTCTGGTCAATCAATCATAATTTGTCAATCATGTTATTAATTTGTCAAGTAATAGTATAGAAGTACATAACTGTCATAAGTGTAAATACTTCTTAGAAATTTATACGGCTGAAACATCATTGTAATGACTTCTGGATATTTTGAACTAGGAAGAAGATAAAATTATACGAAAAGAACTCGGCACCCTCAAGGAATATGTTGGCTCTTCTAAACTTACATCAGTAAGTTAAATCCCAAATGATCTCACTATTTCAGTATTTGCTTGGCAGATTCAGAAAAGATTTGATCGCAATTTGCATGTTTATGTACACTAACACCTTGTTTTGGCGAAGAAAAGTATAATTATTTACAACTCCTAATTTTACACCTGAACTAAGGTATCATCATGCAGTATAAAACCGTCCAAACCCTGTTTGTTGTTGCGCAGTTTTAATGGACGACTTGCGCTTTAGACTAATTTCTTACCTTTACGATAAAAAGGACATTTTCTGAAAGATCTTACTTAAATTAGTAGAGTTGCAAAGTTTCGCTGCGTTTTGTTGTAAATTACGGAAAATATAGCCATGCGAAGTTGTCGATTTATTTAGTTACACATTTTCGCACGTAATACAAAAGTATACAAAATTTGCCAACTTCGCATGGCTATATTTTCCGTGTTCAACAAAATTTCGCAGCCAAACTTTGCATTTGCACTAATTTAAGTAAAATCTTTCTAGCTGTGATGATTTATTTTCTTCTAGTTACTTCGATCAAAAATTAGTCTAAAGCGCAAGTCGTCCATTGATACTTTGTATGCATTGGTTGTCTGATCTAAAGAAAAAAAAATAAAACCTTTTAAATCTCGTATGAAAATCCGTATGGGATGTTTAAGGTTACAATAGACTATAAATAAATAGATCAATGTTGGTAATATCACATATCGAATATTCAAAACTATAATCTGGTTTATTTTATTATTATTTATAGAAACAAATGAGAGAGTTGTTGATTCGGTTAATTTACTGCGAAATGCTCGGCCATGACGCGTCCTTTGGTTACATCAATGCAATAAAGTACTCTGAGCAATCAGCACTTTTGGACAAGAAAACTGGTATGAATGCGAACAGTTAGCTTTTCTTTCGGATTGTGTTATATACCACCAGGCCCTAAATCTATACTACATTCAATTGAAAATTTTTTTGCAATTCAAAGTAAAATTTGTTAATCTATAATTAATATATAATTAATATATTAACTATAATTAATCTATCGTGTATTATAAATTTTACCATTTCGTCAGCTATGGGTATATTAACCTGAAAAATAAGATTTAATTTTTTTCAATTTTTTTTCCAAACTTAGAAAGCAAGCAAAAAAACAAAAAATTAATAAATACGTAAGCAAAAAACGAACAGAAATAAAGAAATTGTTTCTGTTTGTTTTGATTGCTAAAAATTGCCAAAAACAATCGCTTTGACACATATAAAAGTGGTGGATTTATTTACCTGGTTGCGTAGCCTTGGAAATGCTGGAAATGTAATCATATATAGAATATACTTTATTTCAATACATTTAGGTTATCTCGCAGCATCAGTATTCTTGAACAGAAATCACAGCCTTGTTTGTTTACTGATAAACACCATACAAAAGGCAAGTTGTAAATTATGTGTTCGGAAATACAGCAAACTGGTGTAAAATGTTGTATATTTGGAAGATTTGCATCTGACAATAATTTTACGTGTCTATATAACAGGCATTTTGAGATTGTATTTTTAAAATCTGTTTCAGAAATGTCTTTGCGCGAGACGTTTTCCTCTGCGTTGTTGCATGTGCACATTCTTCGAGTTCCCTACTATATAAGTTGACCGACAAATGTGGACAAAACGTTTTTGGTTGAAGATTCCACTGCCTCACAAAAAAGTAGGCGAACACTATTTGGATGTAATTTCATATAAGAGAAAGAACCGTTGCATAAGTTCATGATCATGCAGATTGGGTTGTGAGTGATGCACTCAAAGGCATGCAGCAACTAAATAAAGTCTTGAGCAACGACATTTATTGAAAAGAAGAATACAAAATAACCGCGAACAGGATTTTTCTCTATTGATATAATATTGATATGCAGACACCAGGGCTGTCTTTTAATATTTTCCGGTGTATTATAGATTGAGTTCATAAAAATAACGCATCCCACGCATCAAGCATATCATAGTTATTTGCTTATATCCTCAATGTGTTCCTTCGCATACAGGACTTGAAAGGTACGAACGTGGTTGCAAAGAGTACTGCCTTCAACGTTATTTGCACCTTGGTGGATGCCGAAAAGATTCCTCCTTTGTTACCCTTTATTATTTCCTCTTTAAAAGACAAAAGGTGAGTCTTGCTATTTTCAGAAAAATAGGCCTTCGTGCCGAGAAAGAACCAATATCTTCGCACTGCATGTAATCTAGAACAGCGGGTTAACAGGAGATAAACCTTACTGGAACCGAAGGAAAATATTTCCAGTTTCAACATTCGTCACCAAACGATATCCGTTGCCAACGTTTTACCAAAGGCCGGAAGTACTAATTACAAATAGTCATGCATGCATTCGAAAAAATGTTATTTTAGTGTGTGTTTACTGTTGTTTTTGACGTATCTAACTCCGTTGAAACAATTTTATACCCATGCAGAGTTGAAATTCGAAAGAAAGCGATGGTAACGTTGAAACATGTTTACGAGATAAGTGAAGATTTGGTGACTGACATTGATGAGAAATTGCGTACGGCGATCTCTGATCGGGACCCAATTGTGGTTTCCGCTGCACTTCAGTTTTTTCACCCTCTTGTAAAGGTATCGTTCAGCTTAAAATACTATAGTTGCAAAGAAGGTTTTGTGAACAGCGAACTCTAATACAACTGGGGTGATAACGTAGCTACGTATAGGATGGGCGAAACCTGGCCTTTTTTGTTTATTAGGGGGTCTTAAGCATAAATACTTAAAACATAAACCAAGTTATACCAAAAAGGTATATTTTGCATGGTTTAGAAATTTGAAAATTTTTAAAGGTTCCAAGGAACATATTTAGAAACCACAAAAGTAATTGCCCTTATAGTTTGCCGGCGGTTTTGCCGAATAGCGGCTGTTTTTATAAGTTTGAAATATATTGTTTTTGCATGCTAAAATCTTGAATTTTCACACCTTCATCTTGATATGGCCCCACGTTTGTCAATATGCAAATTCATGTACTTAATAGGCATGTTTATCTCCAAACGCAAACTCAATAGGCATGTTTATCTCCAGTCATCGTGGTATTACATTCAATGGGCTTAAATCTGACCAAGCACCGCACATGCATTATTATACTTGTATACAGGTATACCTGTAGACTCGATCCAGTTGGATTGTTATTATGCAAAATTACACTACAATTTGACCAAAACTTGTTAAAATTTAACCTGTTTTATAAAAAAAAACTGGACCAGTTTTCCAAAATAACGATATGATTGTTTGAATTAGAAAAATCCATCAAAATATCGAGGCTATCTGAAAGTATTTCTCCAAGTGCTTACGCAAGTCATTAACGGAAAATTGTCGGAATACAGTTTCCAGGGAGTTCAAGCACCTTGGATTCAGATCAAACTGCTCAAAATTCTTGCTCTTTTGGGTCATCAAAATAAGAGGTGTGTGAAGGCAACTCCTGTTTTTATACATCATGCAGTTATAACAAAGTCCCAAGTGAAGTTAACCCGTATACAGAAGAAGTCCACCTTTATTTCCACATACACCGCTGATTCTTCCACTAAAGATAAAATCTGTTTAAATTCTCGTACTCTAAGGCCTAAGCACAGAAAAGGAGATACCTTTACATGAGTATTTCACTCAAATCTGTATCTTGTCATACACATAGTGATACATCTGTATTTTACTAAGATAGCCTATACAATTTAATGTGCCATCGTTCTTTTTGCGCTTAAAGCTATATATGCTGTGATGACCTTAAGAACGACCTTAATTGATTGAGCTGGTTGTTCTGCCTCCATTGTTAACTCCGTATAATTAATTCGGCGAACTGTTATTCCATTTATTATTATTGTTATTCGATTTGGTTAAGTCTTCTATAGTGATTCTATTGTTAATTTATACTCTGTTTTCTCTCAGTTGCAGCGAAAGCATGAGTCCGTCGTTATTGGATATGATGAGGGTGTTGCCAACCGATTGTAACATTGGATGCGGTAGGTTGTGATGAATGTAGAACCTTTATAGAAAACTTTATTTTATTACAGTGCCTCCCGCCATCGGTTCTGCTCATAATCACTCAATTGCTGAAATTTAGCGTGTTTCTTACCTTATGAATTGTGCCCACCTTAATGATAGCAATTCTGTTTGTAATCCTGAAAACTACTTTAAAACCTGTGTTTTAAAACCTGCAGTAATACTGCTTCTACCTATATCGATTTTCCTTAATTATAGAAGTTCGCTTTAATGCACCATGTATATAGTACTGAGTTTGTTTTTATTTATGGATTTTTTTCGTTTTATAGCTGTCATGTTTGAATGTATTCAGACAACAACGACAATTTACCCTCTCAAACCATTGCTGGATCTTGCCGCCAAAAAGACCACTCTGTTTTTAACATCAGTATCAAGCAACCTAAAATGCATAGGTATGTTTGCTAACTTGTCCAATTATCTTTATTTGTGACACTTCCTGACACTTCCTGACACTTCCACGTAGGTGTTAATATAATGATTACATGACGAAATATTTCAACTGTATGTACACCTTATTAGATTATACACGGCTTTGTTCTTCGGCTATTTATTACCGTTAAGACGGCTAGGGACCTATAGGGTACAGATGTTTCAATTAGGTTTGTCCTTTAAAAACTTGAAATTTTTAGCGTCTGGCAAAGTCGGGCATCTTGCTTCTCGAGAAAGTATAGACCTATTCGAAAAAGAGCAAGAGACCTGTGGCGAAGTACACGAAAACGAGGCTAGTTAGATTTTCATTTTCGGAATTTCAAAATCATGTCTATATACTTTCACTTTTCCGCTGGATCTGTCAGAAACTACAAAAATGATGTTTTTTTCAATCAATTTCCAGAAATATAAACAAATAAATTTGGACTTATTTTGTCAGAAGAAAACCTGACTAGGATCGTTTTAGTGTAACTCGCTACAGGTCTCTTGCTCTTTTTCGAATAGGTCTATACTTGCTATAAATCCATTATACTTGTTATATATAATTCTTCAAATTAAATTTTGAAGTGATGTTCATGTTTAATGGGTATGCACAGTGGTGAGCTGCATCAATGGAGATTTTGTGTAATTCACAACTTGTAGAATATCAGATATAGGATATTTACATGCAATGCAACATAGAGAATATTTTGTGGTGTTTGATAATGAATTCTCCAGTCTTTGGTATTGACTTTATATGACCAGAAGGTCTTGAAGCCCCACAGGACAACCCAAAGGCACCTGTAGCATTCACTCGGTATTATCTTTGTTGTGTAACAGGAAATTGTTTTCTTGCCTGTAGGAATCACGGCAATGACAGCGTTAGTTGAAGTGAATAGAAGTTATGCGGGCGATAAGAAACTGCAGGAAGTTATTATAAAATGTCTTGATGATGATGATAGAACAATAGGAAAAAAGGTATAGCTAACAGTATATAACCGTTCGACATATTAGATGCCGTTGTAACACCTGCAGGAAAAATTATCAGCAAATGGAGAAGACTGTGTACTACTGTCCTTTTGCATCCCGAACATTCGTATAAATGTAGTGTGTTTGATCATCAGTGTTCATCAGTGTACATCTAAAGTTGAACATTTGTTGGAGAGGGGGTGTTCGGATTGCGCGGTGTATTGGGACGTATACGAATCACATGCTGACGAGGTGTATGTTTTCCCCTATTTACAGTAATTCTGTCATGCACGAAAATAGTACGGGTCGATGAACTGAACTAGATTTTGAAGTTTGAATTTGTGCAATTAAATTTGGTTTAGTATAGAACTAGTACCAATCATTATAGCCAACTTGGAGACTTTAAACTTATATAATTGTATTCATATGTAGAATTTGCCATTATTATTACTGACTCGCTATAATCCTCAACCTTTCTGATAGGTTTATTTGTGCATGTGCTCACTGTTAATTTTGAGGTGCTAAACTAGCACCAACGTAGGTGTCAAATCAGCACAATGCAGTGGTGCTAAATAGAAAGTGCTATTTTGACACCAATTTCGGCGCTAATTTAACACCATCAAATCTGACATTACGCTAAAAGTGCCAATATGACACCTTTTAAATTCAGCACCATTGTAGTGTGTTGAAATAACACCTCTGTTGCCGACGGAAAGTGCTAAAATAACGCTATATTGAGAGCTAAAGTACGAGGTGTCAAAATAACACTAAATGGCGGATAGGAAAAAAGCGGTTCTTTAAGTAATTATTGGAAAATAAGTCCGTATTTTCGATTCATGATCAGATGTTTTGGAACAAGAAATTTTGGAACAACTATTCATCTGAGTGATCTGACGACATGGAAATTCGGTTTGTTCTGATACAAAAAAACCGATAGAGACGAATACTAGACAAATGGTAGATCGATAGTATCGATATTCGATAGTGATTCATTGTCCTTTTCATTTTATCAAACTATGTTATTCCGCGCTATATTTTCGGACTGCCTATGTATTGATTGCTACAAAGTATTTATTTCGCAATCGCCTGCGCTATGTATGTCCATATAAGGAACAAAATGTAACACGTGATCAGCGCCTGTATGCAAATTTTTGAGCGCGTCGTTTGAAAACTCTTTTGAATCGTACTTCATACTGCAGTGTTGAAGACGTTTTGAGCGTTATTTCTTAACTATTTTGGTACTTCTGAATATGCTGAACAACAACGAACTCACATAAGGAAATATCAAGACAATTGGCTATGACATTATCTCAGAAATATCTTGGTAAGTTGAATTGAATTGAATTTGATCGAGTACGGAGGTCCATGTTCGCTCAAACGGCCAAATCGCCAAACAAACAAATGTGTGTATTTTTATTATAGAGAAGCCAAATGAATTCTACTTTTAATACTGCGATGATCTTTAGCAATCTGGGTCAAAGAAAATATCATTGCAATAATAGGATCTTTCATGTTTATTTTTTATCGTGATTTTATGAAGCATCTGCGCTAGTCTCTATATTGATGTAATTTAACGATTTTTATCCTATATTAACATTTGACAATTTATGCTCTATTTTGATACATTTGATGTTAGAGAAAGTTTTTTGTTTAATGAATATCAATGCCTGTGTAATATATCTTTTGATAAATTATTGAGAAGTATAATCTGCTACAGGTTAGCTGAAAGTACTATTAATAGCCTGCTGAAAAATTTGAGTTTAACATGTATTCTAACAATTATTGTCAGTCATTCAATTGCCCAGCTATTGATTGTGTTCTATAGTAACGTTGAATTGTGGACTGCTACATTTATCAACTATAAATAAGTCTACAATACCTATATGATTAATTATTATTCTTTTCTATTTTAAGTTTTCACCAAGAGTGAACAAAGGCTTCAATGTGGAAAATTAAGGGGAAACTGTAATTCTAATGATTCACAAGGGAATAAGGGATGTGTATACAATTAATGTATCCAACCATGGAAGAAAAACAAGTATTTCACCTATGATAATTAGAAATATCCCTTCCTTGCTGACTCAATTGTGGTGGAACAGTAAGTGAAACCTTGTTGTTATACATATGATACCATCTTTATGGATTATCTATCTTTGTACCCTGGATCTGACTTGTTAAACATCTGGAATGGATCTGACTTGTTAAACATGTCAATAATTCAATTTATTTTGATACAGGGTTCATGGATCATAACAAGGCCAAGGGTAGAAACAATTTAAGAAAAATATCCTGCACTCCAGCTTATTACAGAGGTAAGTTTGCTTTTAGTTTACATCATTCATATTGATATAAAGTACCTGTTTGATTGATATCAAGTGCTCTATTTCAACACTTTGCCATAATTCTTGTTGAGAAACTATCCAAACAGATAATTGACTGCCAAATTTCTTTGTTCGACATAATACCCATGTGTGCTAGTTGGCAACTTTTTAGTTAGCCTGTCATATTTCGTGTAAAATTCTCATTAATATTTTAGTTAATTGACAGAGTATGGGTTCTAAATTACCAGTAGAATAATTTTCTTTCACAATGTATCTAGCATACTGTATTAATTCTTTTTCAGGTAAAAGCTGAATTTTAAAGAGTAAACTACAAGTTGATCCATGATATGGTTGGCAAATTTCAATCCATTGATCCAGAAAAATATTTTGGACTATGCCAAGAAATGTAACAAGAAAACTACATTTGTTCTTATAAACAGAGTGGAGAGAGCAATTGTTGGGAAATCAGGTAAATCATGCGATTAATAATAATTTGTCAAAGCCAATGGCACAATTACAATATTATAGCAATACAGGCTATTGCTACACGAAATATGGCCTATTTAGAATCTATCTATATTGATAAACAATTTTTTTAACAGACATCAAGAGCACAGTTGCTTAGATTTTGAAGGAACTATTGAAGGAGAATGCAGGAGAATCTCAGTCTCTCTTCTTTAAGATTTGTTCTGTAAGTGTAAGAAACTCTGCATGTGGGCTGATTTTGTTTTTTAAACACTTTTAAAGTCCTTTTAAAAAACATTGGTTTCTTATTATAGGTTGTTGATTCCATAGATCAGGATAATTGGTTCAGAAGACCTTTCAGATGTTCAAACTTTGATGATTGCGGTGGAGGGGCAAATGTTAACTTATTCAAGAACAGACTCAACCTTATTTTATCTACTAAACATGGAGTACATTGCTGGTGTGGCAAATGGAAACTGCTCTCGTCAGGAAGCCTTAGCCTTAGGACAAAAACTTTTAAAGGACGTTAAGTACCCTAGACATTTTATACACTCTTGTACATAGATTTTCCTGTCACAACATATGTAGAAATAAATATTTTTAAATCTCATTTTGTCCACTTTGTATGATTATAGCTTATGCTATTTAGTCGCTCCATTGCTAGCGCTAAAAGTGCAAAAACTAAATAAACCACACAAACTTCGGGGTTTGATTAACACCATAAATTGGCGTAAAAGTAGCACCAAAGATCGTGCTAATTTGACACCTTATTTCGCGGTGTCAATTTAGCACCCGAAATGGTGTTATTCTGTACCTTTTTATCTGACACCTTTTTTGGTGTCAATATGACACCGCAAAATTAACAGTGCTCGAATAGGTTTGCCCCTTAGTTTTCTAAGCAACGTTGTAGTTATTGGTTCTCGTTTGAATTTGGAAATTTATTAGATATTGGAACTGCTGTACAAGATCACAAACAGTGAAAACGTATGTGTCATATGTGAGAGATTGTTGGACTATATCAGATCTACTACTGAACAATCTATCAAGAATGAAGTAGCGAAGAATTTATCTCAACTTGCCAATCGGTATCCTTTTCAACTGAAAACTATGCTATTATGTAATTGAATGTATAATTTATCCTTAATACAAAAGCTTGCGAAACTCGGGGAAAATCCTACAGTTATTCTTACTTCTTAAAGGCTCTGACGTTGTTCATCTCAACGGAAACATAAAATGCAATTGAAATATCAAATCAAAACTTTGACAGGCCGTGCCTACTTTGGGTTGTGAGGTGTATCACCCCCGAACAATTGCGTGCTTGGTAGATTTTTGAAAGCGTTTACCTTTTTTGAGCATAACAAAGCTTTAAATAACTGGGTTTTTTTAAAGAAAATAATTTTTTTTCAAGAGCTCGCCTATATATTGGCCTTCGAAGCACAACTTACATAAAGTTATATGCGCGCCTATTTTGACCTCATGAACTGCATGGGGGCCTCAAAGTTAATAATTTGTGTGGAGCGCCGAAGCATTCAACCCCGCCCTTATGAAATTTCGATCGCCGCGGCTCTGCTTGTTAATTATTAAGTGCTTTAGTGCTTATTCTCCCGCGCCCCACACACACACATGATTTGGTCTTAGACGGCTAAAATCCAAAGACGTTGTATATATAATGAAGGCCGGAATTAACGGCAGAGTTTTGTAGAAATATATTTTGCATTTTGGGATAGACAAATTATTGGCCAAGTATTTAAGCGGTAGACATAATGAGTTCTAAAAGCTTACACCTTCACCTTTATTCTACGAAAATAAATTTATGTAATCTGCTGCGAGGGAAGAGATGGTGGTATTTTCTGTAAATAGACCTTCACCCCTTATTCAGATATGCCCCAAACATCACATGGTATGTCGACACAATAAACGACACAATCCAGGCTGCTCATTGTGCTCTGCCTCCTGTCGCCATGCACAATCTTCTTAAGGTGATCGCTGCAGGTCAGTACATTCCCCGCTGCTCGTTAATGAAGATTTTAACTCTCAGCTGTGGTAAACTTACATGTGGTTCTATAATTTAGGTGAAATTGATGATCAAAGAATCATAGCAGCTAGATACCTTAAACTTATTGAGAAAACAACTTTACACGACAATCTTATTCAGATCGCTTGCTGGGTGAGAAAGCAAAAATAGTTTAACAGTGACTTCCTTGGAAATATGAAATTTACACTAGTCTGACATTGCAGGGAACAACAAAAAAAGGTTTTGAATGGTATAAAGAAACAATGCACGTCCTCCATGATAGGCGTTTCGTTGGCACGAAAATATTTCGTGGGCCTTCAAAATTCCAGGCAATCCCAGTTCCCTTCAAACTTTAACCGGCAAAGCGGCAAGTCATGCAGACACCATGTGGGACCAAATCACGCTCGAAGCAACAAATTTTTGCTGTGTCAGTCCGATAACTATGAATTAAACGTTTCATATTTCATTGTACCTAGGTGCTTGGAGAGTATGGCAATCTACTGCAAAATGACTGTTCTCTCGATGTGATTTTTTCACAATCGGTGGCACTTCTTGACAGAAAATTCGAAGGTTTTGTGAAATTATATACATGTATACATATCATGTAACCTAAAATACTTAAATAGTCAAAAATCGTTCCCCTCGTACAACATTTGTACTGTGTTCGTGTTGTTTTTAATTATAAGTCTTCCATAAATTCGATTCAATGCAATTCATCTTCTTTCTGCACGCATGTCCATACAGATGTAACAACATTCGGCTGGATTATGACTTGCCTGGGAAAGTTAACACTGCATATGGGTGAATACTCTACGGAGGCGAACGGGATTATGGACCGCTACAGGACCGGATTTCCTGCTGAGTTACGACAGGTTTGTGACTTTGTTATGAAAACTCGCCCTTGGCTTGGCTTTAATTGCAGTAAATTTCCTAGGATAGCGTAAATTATACACAAATATATCGATGGAGTAAAATGAATTAATTCCAAATGCGAAATTTAAAAAGTATTGCCGTCTGATAATCTTTTTCAATTTTTTTAGAGATGTCACGAAATCAACATTTTGGCATCAGATATTTCTCTAATGAAACGTGTAATTCCATTAGCATCAACTGAAGAAGAAATTAAGGTAGGTTGGTTTGAAGCTATTCCATTCAGTAATATCTCGTTTTTGAGACGAAAGGATAATTAAAGCTAGGACTTAAAAGACTCTCTTGTGATGATATGTATAATCCAGGGGCCGGTTGTATAAAACTCATGACGTCATATTAGGCATCTGGGGCCGGTTGTATGAAAGCCGGATAGCGCTATCCACCGGATAGTGATTTTTTCAACCGTTCTAAAAGTGCTTGGAAGGAATAAAATCTCAGCTTTGGAACTAAATATTATTAAAGAGGATCCTCGACTTAAGAATACTAAGATTTAATCAAAGTTATATCTAACAACAGGTGATTTAAAAGCGATTGAAAAAAACACTATCCGGTGGATAGCGCTATCCGGCTTTCACGCAACCGGTCCCTGGGGGAGAATTTTTAATGATTATGACGTCAGTGCAATGGGTCTATATCAGCTACCAGCTGTAATATAATGGATTAACCACTTGCGAATATTAGCACATCAGGTGTATGAAGAATATATGTTATGCATCTTCAAAACTAATACTTCTCGAGAACATTTTACTGTTAGCCTCCCACCACCTGCCTGCATGATCGCATTTTCAATGCACTTTAGGTATGTTCGTCGCTGTCATTTCTGGACAACTACGTGGCGAATGCGTTGAAAGCTGGTGCCCGACCCTATCAACAGAATATGAGTAACGTTGAAGAAATATCGGAAACGAAAAGAGGTATATTTGAAAATGCAATGCTTTTTGGACCGTGACAAGGAGTGTGTCAAATTTTCTCTCCGTTACCATCGAATTAGTCACGACATAATTTTGTATGATATCCAGCATCGATAAATCATGTGTAAAAAGTATGTAGATTTCTGCCGGATAGATTTCTGTAGAATGAACACCAGCCAATAGTTTCAGCAAATATAATTTTGTAATATTTATCAATTTATACTTTAAAAAGTTATTCCGAACAAAATTTCATATTACACAATTGTAAATCTGTATATTTCAAATAAGTCGATTGATTCGAATTATACAGACTTTTGTCTATCAACGCACAGTAATAGACAAATCTGATTGGACGAAGCAGAATGGATAAATCTCGTATCTTTGCGCGCTCCAAAGGTATACGAATTCTAAACGACGCTCATTGGTTAATACAAGCTCTAAAAGGATACGACATTTTTGCCGGCATTTTTTCAAAATGGCGTCGAACAATCTGAGTGTAGATATAATTTCAGACGAAGAATTAGCGCAGAAAAGACAAGATTTGCTTAATAAGAACACGCTAAAAAGTGAGTGCAAAGTTTGAGGTGTATTTGAAAGCTTGCAAAGTGGAAAAGTCCAATCAGATTTGTCTATTACTGTGCGTTGATAGACAAAATCCTTGTTCCAAAGGTCTATCGGGGTATACGAGATTTATCTCTCTCAGCCTGGTGGCAGAATTCGTATCCCTCGAAGCGCGAATTCTGTCTCCAGGCTTCGAGGGATAAATCTCGTATACCCCTCAGACATTTGGAATAAGTGTTAGTGTAAATGAATTTATGTATGCAGACTTTATTCGGAAAAAATGTTATATTCTGTAGATGATTTTTGCATTTTCCGCTGTGAAAAACTTTTTTTACAGAAGCTAGTTATATTTCAACGTGAACGTTTTCTTTTTTTAGAACTTCAAGAATTGCGTTTCAAACCTTACGAAGATCCCTTTATTCGGCAACCTTCACCGGACAAAGTAGCTTCCAAAATTCTAAGCGGGACTGTCGAATCTTTTGTAAAACCTGTTGAGGCCACAACCCAGAAAGAAGGACCGTCTGTTAAAACCACAAATGAGTCAGAAGCGCAGCCTAAAGCAAAGACTGTGTGGGGACCATCTGGATACACTGGAAACAGAATAAAAAAGAGTTTTGCTGACCCTCATAAGATTGTTAATTCTAGTTCTGAGGATTCATCAGCTAACGATTTACCTGTAGAAAGCCCTGCACAGCAAGATGAGGAAACCGTGGAGAATGTTGAGGTATGTAATGGACCATTACCCTCTCGAACTAAATGTTGAACTAGGAAAATTCATAGGGCGTTCTAATAATGCATTGCTGGAATAGCACCTTAGAATTAGTAAAATAGAAAAATCTGGTTGCAGAATGTTAAAATATACAAAATACATAAAAAATACTGTGTGAAGTTAGCGCTTTTCGAAAAGTGGTAACGCTTTTTCGCACATAATACTTATCTATACAACAACTTTGACCAAATGGTTCAATATTTCACCACCAAACATTCTTACTAAGTTTGGGGAGCTTTTTTTCAGTTGTACTATAATTAATATCGTGCAGGCTGATGAAAATTTTATTTTTTAACAAAAACTTTGTTGCACCACCCTCCTCCTTTTTCAATGTTGTGTCCCACGCAGGTGGTCATTTTGGTCATAAGTGTGTTTGGACTTGGAAACATACATTTAGAGGGTAAAGATATGTGAGAATCAACAAAATTATTGTGGGTTGTAGTGAAAATATTGAGCAAAGCTTGACAGCTGTTTGTTGTGTGAGAATAAGCAGCATGATTTGGAAAATGTCATGGTATACTATCGATAAGTAACGTAATTTTTGCAATTTGTTTTTCAGGAGACAAAAGTGAATCAGAATTCAACTCCATCTAACATCATTATAGATGAGAGTCCGGACTCTGCCCTGTTTGCTGGAATTAAACCAAAGGCCAACACAGAAGATTTCAACAAAGAAAAAACGCCTGCGAACAATGAGGGCACGGGGCTTTTTACGGGGTTACATTGCGTTGGTCGTAGCAAAGCTTCGCCAGAACAGCTTTTTGAAAATAAAAAAGACTCAAATGAGAAAAACATCACATCCAATTACGAATCTAGTTTGCTTCTTGATTCTAGTATTGAAAAGGACGTCATGCAGGAATCCTTGCAACCTGTGCGTGTGGAGACCGTTGCAATCACTAAACAGGATGAACAATCAAAAACAACTTCAAATAGCGATGAAGAAAATGTTAGCCAAATCTCTAAAGAGGAGAGTGGTAATATCATAAAAAGTGAAACTGATAGTTATGTTAAAGACGATTCTGAACTTGACGCTAACCACGGTGAAATTAGGGGAACTGATGATTGTGTGGAACAAAAACACTCGGCCACATCTCATAATAACGTTTCGCAAGATGACAAGAACTTCAAAGAACTCTGTATTGATAGTAATGTAAGACTTGTCGCGTGCGCCGTGCACAACCAATCAGAACTTGTTATGCTGATGAAATTGACCAATCATAACCAAAGTCGTGTTGCGATTGAAGAATTGTCTTTGAAGGTCGAACCTCCATCAAATCTTATTGCAGACACAAGTGCTACGGAAATAGCCGTCGACAAATTGGTCTTCCTGGAGACGGTAAGTGGCACATTCTTGAATTTTACGTTACCGGGAGCATAATAAGGAAGAAATGTTGTAGATAATCCTTTTTAGCTCATTTCAACCAACTAGATAAAAAAGTAAAAGGTTTCGAAGATAGAAAACTCAAGACACAAGTTGTCAGAAACAGCACACAAATCAATATCTTTATAGGTATAGGTTTTCTTCGTGTTTTCCTGCCCACGCCTGTGATGAAAACACTGAATTGATAAAAGATTCCTATACCCACTGGCCTGGAGGGAAATTCCAAACTGCTAAAGTTACCCAGTATGGCTAACGTTAGAGAAATGACTTCGGATTAAATTAATTGACATATTTATTTCTATATTCTCCCAGATAACAAAGGAAGTTCCCATGAAATATCAATACCCTTCGACACGCATGACTTTCAAAGGTACATTGAGGTACTCGGTGTCAAAAAATTCAAAGGTTTTGCAATTCGACAATGAACTTGCCGCAAGGCATCTCCTCAGGCCACTGACGATGTCAACGGAGCAGTTCGGTGAAAAATGGACTTCGACAAGCTGCGGCGTGCGTAAACATGTGACTATGACGTCACGAAGGTCTTGCGAAAATCTAGCGGATGTTGTCGCAACTTACATTCATTTTAAAGTGATCGATATCAAAGGTATGCAGCTTTTAAGGCTCATTTGCACTATGCGATTTATATCGAATACGATTTTTACCCTGGCATGTGTGATTATAGCGATATGAAATTAATCTTCAATCAACCAAGCATGCAAATTTTTGTGTAGGCACTCGTTTCCATTCATGAGAATATTAATCGCAGACGCAGTTAATCTTATATCGTATAAATAAGCCTTTATGTACATTCCAAGGTGTACCTGTCGATAGACAATCTTGAAAATAACCAGAATTGGTATAGAGCATATTTTTCCTTTCTACCACATTCGTTTAGACGACCCGCGATAAATCTCTGGACCAGGTCTAGGCCCATTGAAATAATAGACAAAATGTCTATTATTTCTATGTCTAGGCTACAAAATCAAGGCCTGGCCTGGATCTCGATTTTTGTTAGCTGACTTTACCTGCATCTGGTTTAGGTCCAACATAATTTACGCTTCATGCCACCAATTAGTGGTCTTGTTTCCAAGTATGATTTAGCCATCCAAAGTCATCGCCAAGTGACCTTCCCGAGGGCGCGGTTAAGCCCATTTTCCCCTGGGCGAATTTATTCGCGCGACGCTTAAGACGCCGAGATAGTTCACTTCTAACTAGTTACAGAACTGGCCAACCAAAACTACCAAAAATGGTTACCCCAAAAATCACATGCAAGATTTTAGAACTTATAATCCGCAACCCTAACACTAAACCTCGCATTTCCAACAGGTTCAGAGGCAATTTTGGCAGGGTCAGTCCTAGCCAACGACGCATGCCTACTGCATTTGAGTGTCGAGAATTCGGACGTCGAACTTTGGGTAAAGTCGTCCGGTAAAAGACTGTGTGAGATGGTTATGAAGGAGTGCTTGTCTGCATGCGACGAGCTCATTCAAACTAACACATAAATTATCTGAGGGAATTTGATTGAATATTTAATATATCGCTGCGGTCAAACCGATTGTGTTCCCAACGAGGGAAAATGTACTGTTTATATGATTTAAACACTAATATCAACTGATAAGATAAGATATTTTTGCTATGCAAAAATGAAGCCAATGTCGGCCATATTAGATAGACTCCCCACCCTAACGTGGTATTTAAAGAACTTCTATACATTTCTAGACTTTTTGGGTGTTGCATGGCTAGTCTCCTATGCAGGGACCTCGCACCCGCGGTCAGGCTTCGTAGGAGACTACTATATACGGAAAAGACAATTTTTGCTAGATAATGTATGATCTATGCCTGCTCAAGTATACCTCTTGTCTGAGCAAAATATGTCGGTGAATAACCAGTGTGGGGAAATATGGCTGCCATGAGCCTCGTCATGTGGTGTTTAAGCCTGGTTCCCACTTGTCCTAAGAATCTGGGCTTTCCTTTGTCTGAGGTCACTGGTGCGCAAAATGCTTTGTCTATCGGAAGGCAATACAATGGATCCCCGATTCTTAGGAGCTAGTGTGAACCAGGCCTTATATAGAAACGTTTTAGATCGATTTGAAGAACTATTTTAAGCTACCTTTCACAATCAGCATTTGATATTTGCTTAAAAAAGCGATTAGTCTTGTTTTGAATCAAATATAATATATTATTTTATCAATCTGATTTTATCAAGAATATTTGGGCTTCAAGGATGCGGCATACTGGATCAAATCAAAATATGACGGACGTTTTAACTGGATTCGATAAAATAAGATCAAGTCTTCTCCTCTTTTAGATATTTCAGTAATACTCGTAACTTGTTAGGGACTGATAATAGTGGAAAAGATGTGTACTTAATTTAATGTAGGATCCTTTCAAGAAACATCTGACCCCTCCTCTTTAGCTACCGCATTCTATGCTACACCACACCCTATTTCAATTATTGTAGCTAAAAAATTGTAAAAGATAACCCATTCAATATTTCGTGACCCTCCCGGCTCCCGCTGTGTCCACCGCCCACCTTCCTGCTAAATCATGTCATTTCCATAACTATCATTCTTCGCAGTCCGCCTGATAACAACACTGATAATTATTATATTATACGCGTCAATGATGCCTACTATCACGTAGCACATTAACTGGAAATAAATAAATTATATTTCCTCTATTCAGCCTCTGAGGGGGACCTAAAGTATAGTGAAAATATATGGTAGGCATACCTGTTGAGAAAGAGGGGGGTATGTATGATAAGTATAGTATACCTATCGAAGGAGGGGAACCTATTCGCTTATCTATGCAATGATTGCAATCTTCACTCCGTAGACTCAACGGGTTATTTTTAGTACGGTTCGGATAAAGATGGCACCTGTTCTATTTTTGTTCGTGCTCTGATCCCGTTTTGACTGCAAAATGATAAAACCTGTTTGACAATCTGTTAAACACATTATGTCAGTCAAAACATGAGTCATGATGATAAAAAAACAGCGCCCGTAAACAAAACCGATAACAATTCTCATTTTAGACTTGACAAAGAAAAGTATAAATATTCCCCGAAAGAGCATGCATACTAGCTAATTAGTAAAATCGCAAAATGTTTTAAGATGCGAAAATTATGGCCCTTTAAAGTCTGAAATTTGTATACGTTTTCAGTGCGCACGGAAACTGTTGCCACTTCGTTTGTGTTGAACCGAAAATGGTTACAATTTCTGCATGCAATAAAAAAGTATACAAAATTTTTACATTTTGCAAGACTAAATTTTTCGCGTTTAAAAACAACCTGTAACAGGGTTTCCACTTGGATGGGAATTTCCATATTTTATTGAAATTTTGATATAAAGGCAAGTGAAATGGAATTTTTTATGAAAATGAAAAATTTCTGGAAATTCTATAAAACTTTCAACATCTTCTTTCTTCAATTAAAATCATAGATCTCAGTGATTATTATAAAATTCAATATTTCCAACGACATAAAGAGACTTTTTGTGGGATTGCGATGACAATTTACTTTTTTTAAGTTTGTTTATGAAATTCATCTTGGAGGTATCTGGTATGGATAACCACGCTGTTTTAATATGGTAAATTGTTTGCCCTATCAGTCTTAGTCCAGTGGTGAAGAAATTGTCTTGTAACTTTTAGGTCGGTGATTCGAATGCTGGGACGAATATATTTTCATTATGACTTTGAAAAGGTATTTAGGTAAAAATAAATTTAACGCTGATGCTCTAATCCTTTTATGCTAATTAGAAATTGTGCGCGGTACTATCTTTAACTATCTACGTCTGTGATGTGTGCACGTGGTTATTCTGCACTATGTGCACTATTGCATTAAATCAAGAATCAAGAATGTTCTTTATTCACATCATTTCTTAACTAAATCAACCTATTTTAGCTTATAGTAAATGTAGTGCCGGAGTGAAAAAGGACACTTTACGGTTATCAAACATACGTTTTTGGAAAACGATAAAAAGTCGAATTTAGAAGAAAGAAACCCAGCGCAGTCGCAGGGAACGAATAATAATCCCACATCATCACATAGAGCAATGTCATATATATACTAAGCCTTCCGCTTTTGGAGTCGCATCCACAGCGTGACACGCCCATCTATCTGTTCTCACTCTATTGTCCTGTTTAGAGGAACAAGGTTCCTCTTGCAAGTTTGACTATGGGACCGTAGTTGTTGCTTCTCGCATCTCTCAAGCGAAACGACTAAATTATGAAAGGAATTTGTTTTTCATTATGAATTTTAGAAAAAAAGTTTAAGTAAAATAAAAATACCGTCAATTATCCCAAGAGCAAATAGTCTATAGGGGCGACGACAATGGTTTAGATAAGATAGCTGTTGATTTCACGATCTGTTGGCCCAGTGGTGAATGTGATCGTCGTGTTATTACCTTGTAAAAGCCGTGATTTGGGATGTGATATATTGAAAGAGTATTCAGTCTTTCCAAAATATCTGAAACTACGTTACCATTTAGAGCAAACGTGACAATATTTTTTATGTTAACGGAGCTTAGGAGAATTTCAGCTGTGAAATTAGTTGCGAATGTGGAAACACTTGAATGAATCTGCAAAGTGAAATACCTTTTGGCTGAAATTTTAATACAGTTGTGACATGTGAAATCAGATTATCAGACTTGACTTCCTTGACGTAAACAATCGCACCGTGACCCTAGTGGCGAGGACAATGATCTCCCATCACTGTTTTTCATTATGAACTTCGTGAAAATGATAAAGTAAATTCAATAACCCTAGCCGTTCAGCTCAAGATCTTGTAGTATAGTGGCGAAGACAATGATATCCCAATTGGTAAATCGATGGTTCGAACTACCATAACCGTTTTTCCTTATGAACTTCGTGAAAAGGATAAAGTAAATTATATGACCATTCAGTGCAAAATCTTGTAATCTAGTGGCGAAGAAAACCTCTTTACCCCCATTTATCCTCCTATTTACTCCTATCTATCCCTACTTTCTCCTATTCTCAGATATCCCTAACTATCCCCTAACACAATTAAATGTTTGAAGAAAGCTTGCTTTGAAAGTTAGGAAAGTCGGGAAAAGACAACTCCCCTCAGACTGGCTACTCCTCCTCGCCAAGGCGAGGGCATATTCGCCCTCTCGCTCTACTCCTCTCACACTCACAAATTCTCACTTTATTACTTTTTCGGTTTATCCAGGGCTTGAACCATCGACTGTATACTTGACAGATCACTGTCTTCACCACTACACCACCAGTTCTTGTGGTGAAAACCTACAGTTTCTTATTTTACTTAATCTTTTTTGGAAGGATCTTTGACGAAACTTACTTTTTGGTAGGATCTCAAATGAAATAACAATTTAAGTTCACTTTAATGTTCCACATTTATTTTCTCAAATCTCACACACTGTATCTTTACTATCTTATTCGTAGCTTGTAACTTAATATTAGCCATTTGTGTTGTCGCTAAAGTATCACATACAGGTATGCGGCATCTTTCCATAAGTTGCTTATATGCGGCACAAGTGAAGCTAATGGTTACGGTGCGATTGATTTGTATTTTTTTTTTGTATTTAAGTCAAAGTAAAGTACAAGAATTTACAATGTATTTCAAAATAGGTTTAAAATGGAAAAAGTACAAGAATTAAGAATGTATTTCAATGTGTATAACACGTATAGTCATGATGCAACAAGCTTTAAGTATGCACCTCGTACTTTCGTAGATTACAACTGAAATCATAAGCTAGTTATATGCGGCCCTGGTTATGGTGCGATTTTTTTGTATTTTTAATGAGGTCAAGTCTGATTTCACAGATCACAAATTAAAATTTGAAGAAAATGGTAATTCAGATTCATTAGAATGTTTCAACATTTGCCACTTATTTTACAGCTGAAATTGTACTCCAAATCTCCAACATAACCCAAAAGATATTAAATAACTCTACTTCTCTTAAGCTGCGTTTATACACGGTACCATCCGCTGATTCCGCTCGTCTTCGTTTCCATTAAATTATAACGTAATTATAATCGTAACATCTTCGTTTCCATTAAATTATAATTTTGAATTTTTCATTGCTCCAAAACAAATATGCTCAAAACGAAATAGATTAGTAAATTAGCTTACATGGCTTTTAGGTACACCACGTAAGTATTTAATACTGCAAAGCTCTCTGTCGGTTAACCCGGACCTTTTCATTTTCGAAAGTCTTTAAAATTTTGTTTGAAATTTACGAATTTTTCAATCATTGAAAAAGAAATCAAATGCGTGAAAAAACGAAAAAAAAATCGTCTTAGTAAACATTTTAAGGCATTTTCAGCTTGTTAACGTCATTTTAGAAAATTTTAGAAAATCATCAATTTTGAAAGTGAATAAACAACTTAGTAATTGTTGGCATTATTATAGAACACTATTGACAATTTGATATTAGAAACTGAAAGAAAACAACTTTAATGCCTTAAAAATACTGCCTTTTCTTGATTCTTTTCGTGGGTATTTTTTCGCTAAAATGTCATCGCAAAATACACTTGATAGACATTGTTTGATATCATAAGTCTATGTTTATTTAATTCCAAGTGACTAGATGGCAAAAAAGTTGTATTAATTTTAGAGTAAAACAAATATTCCTGCATTGTCACGCTGGGCTACACGCTTTTTCTAGCAAAGAGCCGTCTTACTCCGCATTTCCAAAAATAGGACCATAAAATGCATTTTACTAACATCAAGAATGTCTCAGCCGGCAGGAAGTACTAACAAAATCAGTGATTTATCCCCCTAAAACATTTTTTGGGTTGTTTTTATTAGATTTACGAAATCACAACAAAGTACTTTTGTTTTGGCCGTGTTTGTTTTTGCGTGTAAAGCCCGGGGGTGGGGGGTGACTTAGTACCAACTTTCGGTCAGAAGGTAGCGTTCCAGTTATTTATTACAGTTCACTGGGGTAGGGTGAATAGGCAGAGGTTAATAAATTCCTTAATTCCTTGCTTTAATAAGTGGGACATCAATTTGCAAAGAGGGGCTATTGCATGGGAAGGAGGTTATAGAAAAGCATATAGAAACAACAAAAAAATTAGTGCAATGTCAATAGTTCTCTGTCATTTTAGATTATCTATTGTCATTACTCATTAGCATTACAACCATCTGGAATTGTGTGATTTTTCAGATTAGTATAATTGATATATCTATTTTTCATATATACAACCATTTTAATGTGTGAATCTTATAACCTTTTTGACTTGTACTGTACATAATTGCCATTTGTGATTTCAAAACTCTGTAATTACGAACATATTTTCAAACAGTCAGAACATTGCAGTATGTCCATTTCCTAGATGAGAAACCCTACCTTGTGCATTTTATATATTTATAAAAATTGGGTGAGATGTTTGTGACCACATTGCTGCAATAAAGGTAAAGCAGATTATAACCACATCCTCAATTCCGGAAAACTAATTTAAAAAACCATATTTACTAAATCTCAAGAGAGAGCTCTCCTGAGATGTAGCAGACAAATTATTTGACTCATTTAAGGCCAATTCATGTCATAGACATTGTGTTTAACTGAACAGTGTTTTTTAGTTTAATGTGAGTACAATGTGAACTGTCTTAAAACCATATGTCATCTGCATCTGTCACTTTCTTTCCTAATAGCTGTATTTCAAGTTCACACAGCTGTTTAAGGAATGATCGATTGGGTTTCACTGCTTGTCGTTTGGACTTCATGAAATCATATGCCTCCTTCAGGCTCCAATGACGAGACTTCATCAAATAGCACAGTGACATGGTAGAACTACGACTCATACCTAGGTTGCAATGAACCAACACACAACCATCTTCATCAAATGCATTCTTGATAAAGTTGGAACTCTTCTCAAAATATAATTTCAAGCAGGATGAATTCAAGTCTTCAACATTTATGTTGAGGTAAGTAATCTCCTCGGGAAATGCATTAGGGTGCTCGGTACAAACATTTACAATATGGGTGATTTTTAAGTTCCTTATAACTGTCTTATTTGTTGCTTGGTCACCACGGCCTTGGTACAGCTTACCTTCGACAATCTCAGATGGATATGTTTGTAAATATTTCTTTCGTTCTTCCTCATCAGTAATGTGAATGCTAGAGCACAAAAATGGGTACTTCTCTTTAAAGGACTCAAAGCCTCCCTTAAGAATACTTGGCTGAATCCCAAATCCTTGGAGTTCATGGTAAAGCTTAAGCTCTGGACATGAGGAGTCATCCAAATTACATGGTCCATTGCCATATATAACAACCATTGTGAAGTCCCGCAAGCTGGTCCTACCACCGATATATCCGTAGTTGAACAACAAAACCAGTTCCGTATAAATAACATCCGATGGTTGTGCAGTAACAATATGTGACACATCATACTCACTGCGATCTCGGATATCCAGTATAAGAATATAGAATGGATCCATTATGTAGGCGTTAACTGTTCCATCATTAAGGCAATTGTATAATTCATGGACGGTCATTAGGTCCAATTCTTCACCAGTCCGTAATGAGATGACTTCTGATGTGCTCAAGTGCTCTCGCCTATGTGAGGATACTGTTGCACTATCAGTCTGATCGGGCAAGTTCTGATTAAAATTATCTTCAATATTTTCCAAGTATACATGATTTTTGTCCTCCTCAGGAAACCTATTGAACTGCTTCTCGAAATACGCCGGAATTGTGGAATCTCGAGTGTAGTGACACAGTTTGTCCCCAACAGCAGAATCGCCTCCCAAATTGAAGTCGTTTTCACTATATTCACTCGAAGTGGGATCTTGTAATATTTCGATATTCTGTTGCGAATGCTTACTATTTCGACGAAGAGTGCAAGATACACTTTTACCCTCAGATTTTTCGACCGATAAGTGTCTGCTGTGGTTATTGAGGGAGTTTTTTTCGACTTGGGAAGAATCACTTGACAATTCTCGATCTACATACCGCTGTTGTGTCGATATGTCGCCAGCGCTTCGATCTTGAACTCGTTTTCTACTCGAGTATGTACTGCCCATGTTAAGCAAATAAACCCACAGATACTATTGGAATTTCTGCGTAGTGCTTACTCCATGGCGTTCCAATTATCGTTCTTACAATGTTTCCATCTCAATGTCGATACAACTTTGCGTATTTTAGTTTTGGCCAGACAAAATTGTTTAGTCGAAAATTAAGTCAGATTTACCCACCAGACCATGTCGACGACTCAACATATCTGATTATACTGACTATTCTTGTGTAGTTTCCGCTCGTAATTGTCATGCGCGGAAAGACTCTTGATTTCGAGAGGAACGTCTTAATCTTGAACAAACAAATATCAGTTGGTTTGCAAACATTTCGCAAATCATAGGTGTTGAACAGTCGATTCAATAATGATCCAAAAAGATGTTTATTTTGTTGTTTTTGAAACTTGAATTTAGTTGATCGTAAACTAATACCCTCATTGCGACATCCCGGTCAGTTTTGTAACTTTTCATTGTATTCTTCTTCCGTTCGATTTCGATTTGCGACATTCGTGTTTACATTTTATTTACATTTTAGAACTTTCAAATGTCAACAAATTTGTAACAATATGAAAGCCCGCGCTTTTGTGCCAAAATATTTTACTTGATAGCGTTCGTTAATATGTACGTTCAGTGACAGTTATAGTAGGGTCTAGAGTAGTTTCATTTTAATTGTCAATGATAATTGTCGGTTACTGAACACATATTATATCCAAATGGCATTCGCAAACACAATATATAAAACTTTGGAGTAAATTTCTGTGTTGTGTGGTTTTAATACCACGCGAAGGGGGACACAATACTTGTACTACATGACGTTTTCTCCTGTGTTTACATCTTGCAGATTCTTGCTCGCCATTTTATTATAAAACATTATACAAACGTTGGGGCATATTTTCACAATGTTAAGATAAATAAGTGCTTCATTTTCCGGTCTACAATGTAGAAACATGCCTAATCGTTTCTCAAACGATGAAATTTGATATCAAGCCTTAAACTATTCTATAAGATGGGGAATTATCCGGACACCAAGCGAAAACTCGAAGACTCAAATCTGGGTGAACAGCAAGAAGAGAGTGTAGTGGAACTGCCTAAAAAGTATGCCTAGTCATTGTTGTTTTTGCAAATAAATAGTGTCGTTTATCAAATTAGAGTAAGAATTCCCCATTTGGTCGATACTTCGTGAGTGGATTGGTTCTAAAAAAGTGGGGAATGTTTGAGTCATGGTCATATCTATGAGCCTGATCAATTTTTTAAATATCAATATCAGCGAATATACACCCCGGAAAAATATTTTGAATATCTAGCTGCAACATCCAACACAACCTTGTATGTGGGCGTACGAAGGTGTTCTGGTTAAGAATCATGAAAAATTAGTGAACACATAAAACCGTTTAATAAAACAGTGCCCAGGTTAATCTAAGGTTATTGTCTATTATAGTTATCTTTAATTTGTTTATTTATATTCTTATTTCCTTTGAAACATTACAACAAACCAAATTAGTGTCCAGAATATTTGATGACTGATATTATTATTTAAGAGCAAAGTCCTGTACACTTCCTATGAACAAGCAAAAGCCAGTTAGGATACCGTACTTTACTGTGCAAGATTATTCGGACTTCTACTATCTTTTATATCAAAATACACATTGGCTTCGAATATGCAAGTCATTCATATATACAGCCAACATTATTTTTAAGGCAATACTTGTGTTTTACAAGTGGAATGGGGTAGGAATTTAGCAAACTGCATTGAGATAACCAATCCTAATCTTCAAGATTGTCTCCATCTATCAATATAGGAATGGCATTTGCTTGAGATGCCTTATCACAAACTCTTTCTATGCCAACACTGTTTATTTGTGTTCACTGTTTTATTGTTTCTTTTTTATTTTAAATCAATGCATTTTTCTCTTACCTACTAATTGTTCCTAGTTCCTACTGCTTTACCTATTAAATAGTTCAGTAGTGTCTACTGTCTTCACTATCAATCTTACTTATCTTACTTCTCTATTATGCTTCATCTACATGGCATAATGCTGCTTAAATAACAAAACATTCTCTTTTCTTTTAATTAGATTAGCTTTAAATCTTCATTGTTTTGCTTGTGATTTGCAGTGCTTTTATTTGCTGAGAAAGATATTTCTCAATGAATAATTACAATGTTCACTCCACACTACAGTACCTCCAGCAATGATGTATACCGGTACTAGTGGTATTCTAGCTTTCAACCAACAGTCTCTCTCTGTTTCTCATAAATAGGCTATATACTTAGGTACAATGTAACTTATACTATAGCATTATTCCAAAATGATGATTGAAACATGGTGGCTGAAATATGCTAGTTTTGCCAAATATTGTGAGCCTTTCAAGTGCTTTGGTATTGATCCAATTCGGTGTTTGTTGTAGTTTCTGCTTGTCTCTCGAAGTGTTTTTGTTGCTAGAAAAATCAGGGAATTCAAAGTTTTTTCCATTTACGGGGGTGATCAATGTTCAATCTTTGTTCTCGTTCAGTGTGAAGCTTTCTGCGTAGAATTCTTCTCGTTTCGCCCTTTGCATTCGTTCGTTATCGATCGCCATTCTCGTTCCAAAACTAATCTGTAACTTGGCTTACTCCGGAAACGAGATTGACGTCTATTTTAGTGCGTGAAGCTAATATCTCCTTAGGCTTAGTATTGGCAACTAAAAGTCTAAGAAAGCATTTCTTTCTTGGTTGGCTAAGCTGGGACAAGTTAAGCTGCTGAACTCATCAATACGACTCGTGTAGAACCACTTCATGCTAAGTACAGTACAACAGTCACGCAATCCCTTCAAAACCTTAATACACAATGCAAAGAGTATGCAGCGCATCTGAATAAATTGCAAGCTGAGTGGATATGACTGCATACCTAAAGCTCTTTATACTGTACTGTATGCTGTATCCCAAAATCTCACTCATCCTCAAACTAATTGATTGTGATACAAAAATGACGTATATGCTGGTCCGTAAATGAAAATTTTCCCAATCAATTCAAGATTGAAGGTAAAATATTCAAAACTCAGCTATCAGTCAAGTAAGAAACCGTCATGCACAATTACAAGATGACTGAACTTCCACTCAATGACTTTGAGTATACACGAGCTTTTAGAATACGAGTTATAGTGTGTTTTCATAAGGATGGCGCTATAGCCGATTGAAACATGGGCTTTGGAAAGTTTCAGAAATTTCACACGGTCGACAGGTTTCAACTGATGCAGTCTAACAGACTCTTCGGTCATAGATCTACTTTCCTGCACTTGTGCACACTGTAAAAACAGTACCAATCTAAAATTTACGAATTTAAAATTTTGCAAAAGCATATTTCATGGCATTTTTTTATCTTTTGACATATTCTGTATAGAGAGGTTATGATAGCCCGGTTTCGGTATACGGGTAGCCATACTTTGTTCATTGGAATTTCTTGTTGTTTGCACGTTTCATGATACAAATCATGCTTCCCTCAAGAGGCCAAAGTCTACAGGAAAAGAATTGTCGATGTAATTTTTGAAAAAATTGAGAAATAATGATGGAAATTCAGCGAACATAATAAGGCTACCCTTACCCGTATACTACCGGAACCGGGGTATCTTAACCTAATGACGTCCTCCCGCCACGAGAGAGGTGATGTTCCAAAGAGTTGATCAGCTGAAAATCTTGGTGACCCATAAAATAATAGGAAAAAAGCTGAGAAATCCAGTTGCTTCGTTAACAGTGCAGTTGTACGCGTGAACAATTTTTTACTGAGTCCTTCGATTCACATTTTTATCTTTCCGTAGCGTGCTTTACATTAGCGAGGTTCAGATTTAACTACCACTACGACTACCATCATCCGTGTATCATCATACACGCACGTAAAAGTTTAAAACCGTTGTTGTTTAAGCAATTTTATACCAGAGAAAACTCGCGAAATCATCAACAAAATCCAACCTTGTGCATCTATTCAATCATTGATTTCATAAGTATCGTTTAAATTATTTTAAACTTTTACGTGCGTATACGTATACGTAGAAAAAACGCAAGAGTGGAAAACAGCCCTTGATGTCCTGCTTTTCTTTCGTACGCAGACCACAGGTGTGGAATAGGCTGACCTTTCATGACCTCTGTATCCTACTGTCACTACAGTATATCAATTAATGTCCGAAAACTTCTTTGACCTTCGATTTAACTGCATGTGCGAAAACATGAACATATTCGTGAGTTTCCTCTGACAATATGATCTTCATTTGCCTCACTATTTTCTTGGGTTTTCAACGCTGGGGTCTCCATCCCCAACTTAATCGTTTAATTCTGATGTGCGTGACAAACAACGTCAATACAATCACCTGTTTGGTACTGTTAAAAAACGTTACCGTACAGAATCCGTTCATTTTCACGGTATCATCACAAGTACTCTTCTTTTACGAACTGTGTCAGCTATACAGTTCTTATATTATACACCTTTCATTCACCAAGCAAAATCTCGAAGCCAATATATCCTGAAAAACCGTGTTCACTGATGTGATACAAGAAGTTGGAGTGAATTACTATTCTTGGACGCCACATGTGTGCATGCACTGTTTTATGCCTATGTTTCAACATTTCAAAAATATCAGGGTGTTGCGAAATTTAGTCGGCAAACCCATACATCAATTCTCGACAAAAGTTTGCATACACCGTCCCCTTTAACTAGTTAGGGCTAGTGCTGATCCTCTGAGTGTGTTTACGATTCAACACGAATTGCAACTTCTGACATGAGAGATAAGAGGAAGCAACTATACTTAGAGTGAATTTTAATGGAGCAAAGCAGCTATACATACATAAATACTTTTGAAACTTTCTTAAGAACGTTAAAAAAGGAAACTGTCTTAAAAACGTTAAAAAAGATTAGGGGGAATTGCAAGCTATTGATTGACATGCATGTTGTGTTTTCATTCCAGGAAGAAGCAACGAACAACGTCAGACTATATTTATCACACACTTTTTGTCAATGGGCAAGACAGCGATATTACACTCGTGGCACTCGGTAAGTCTTTTCATATAAGATATTCTATCTGCTTTGCTTCCGTCTTCTTGACCTACTTTTTTTAATGTAGATGTTTTAGTTTAATAAACTGATTGTGCATGTATTTTCATATTTGTTGAAAATAGAAATCTTAAGCTCATAATCTAGTTTATTTCTGTTAATATTACATCGGGTACAAAAAAGAAAAAAATATCGCATGTTTCTTCTTCGGATAGACTTGACTATAGCTCTCTGTATACATAAACTATCAAGGTAAAAAACGCTCGTGCAAATTTAGTGCATCTGGCCCAAATGAATTAAAATCATTGTACTATAATTATTGTACTACTGCATGCATGTGAGTTAACCGCGGTGACAATCGGACCGGCGACGTTTAGTTTGCTAGTCCAACTGAACTGCTAGGTCGAGACGGCTCAAATAGGCTATATAGATATTTCGAATCTCAATCTAGTCCCTTCCACTCCCGTGTGTCTTTACGTTCCAGTGATTGTGCATACGCATCAGGTGAAATAATGTTGCGATAGTGCTACTCTGGGTTTCTTGATTCCCATCGTGCATGGTCAAGCTAATTTTTCAGCTTTTCGTTTCCATCAAAATATATGGCAGCAGTATGACAATATTAACTCTTATTATTTATAATTTGGCTGCACCGTGCCTGGAAGTGATATGTAATAGATATGTATTTTCAAACCAGAGCATATAGAATTAAAACCATAGGCTTCTGGACCGTATTCCCCCCGCCCCATTATTTTTTTATTAAACAAACTGAAGAAGCTAAAATCGATAGGTATATTCGTGTACCCTGATGCTCTTAAAACAGAGACCTTTGCAACTATTTCTTCGCATGCGGGGATTTGATTAAAAAAAGGGGGAACAAAAGAAAACGGTGAAGGCATTATACAATTCATGCTAAAACATTGACCGCAGTCATAATTTGTAAACACGAATGATGATGTAGAAATGCACACAAAACATGCAGAATCTAGAAATTTATTATACATGGTTAGTGCTAGCTGATTATGGAAATATATTTTATAATTCTTTTTTAGATATTGAATGGAAACTTCATAAGCTATACCTTTGTCAGGTACGAGATACATGATTCATGCATGATGTACAAATACATAGCATATAGAATTGAACTTTGCGTTGTTTTAAGGAAAATTATATGTGCAACAATTAAATGTTGCTGATTTCGACTCTTTAAATTGCATTTAAACTAAATTTTTGGTCAACATAAATACTGTACCCTTAAAACCTGGACGTGATATAATTGTAATCCTCCTTGATTGCCAGTGCTTTATATCGGCGATGTGGTATATTTTTTAGTCCAATTATTTCAAGAGTATGTTCACTGGAACATGGAAGGAATCACAAGAGAGTCTTATCAAGCTAGAAATTCCTGATGAAAATATTGACGAGGAAGGTACACGGTGTTTGAATAATCTATATATGGTTTATAAGGGCCTGTTCATATGAGACGGGCCAGCCCGGTTTAGCCGGGCTAGCACGGCAGTGGCGGGATCTCGCCTCACATGTTATTTTACTTTATTTGTAAAATTGCATTCATATGGAACCAGGCCAGCCCGGCTTTGGCGAGATCTCGCCTGAACAAAGCGAGATCTCGCCTTTAACGGGCTCATATGAAAACAGCAAAAGCGAGCTAGCCCGGCTCAACCGGGCTGGCCCGGCTCATATGAACAGGCCCTAAGTCAAGTGAATATAGGTTTGTAATCACCGAGCCTGCATGAGGCGACTAATTGTTTTAGTATAAATTTCGAGCTGTTTACAAATAAGAATCAACACAATTTCATAAAAAATTATAATTACTTCAAATTTCTTATTTGAAAAAGGCGTCAAAAAGCTATAGTCACGTATCACTTCAGAGACGGTGAATCTTGCATGACCGATCAAAATGCAGGAAAATCAATAGTCACCTCAATATTTATACTAAACGATACATAGACACTACGCATGGAAACATTTTATTGCAGCATATTTAACAATTATATCTCGGGTTCGAGTCGTATATGGGAGAATAGAATTCGTAGTGCATGGTTACAAAGAGCGGTGAAACCATGCATTATTACAATAGCTATTATTGCACGACTGTATGTCTGCTATATAATTTTTAATGTTTATTCTCACATAGCATTGCACATTGCTTTTGGATCATTCTATTGTGACGAAGTGGAAATCTCATCCCGTAATGTGGTTGCATTGATGGCTGTCGCCTGTATGTTTCAATTGGTAAGTATAACTTTCAAAGTCTAGTGCATCATGATATTGAAATACTCGAGCCTACATTTGTATAATCCCGGCGAGAATTTTGGTGTTATATCTTTGCTTGTTGTATTCTTCTCACTTGTGTACTTTTTCTGGCACTCACAAGAACCGAAAAACCAAATAAAAATAACATAATATTTATTAAGCAAAACGGTCTTAGCGATTGAACCCTAGAAACTGCTTTTCCGATCTCCAAAGACCATTTATAATGCACCATGCATATTGGGGTAGCAAATTATTGTGCCCGCATCGAATTTTTCACTCGGCGTTTACATTAATTTACAGAAACACATAACAGCGCTAGTCCCTACTCCAACAAATGCTTGTCTACAAATTCAATATTTCAAATTTCCCTTGAAATATTATTTTTGTCATGAAAATATTTACAACGAGAACACAAAACACAAAACACAATAGTTTTCGTTACAAATTATATTACTTGCATTCGTTTTACATGCAGTACCATAATATATTGTGATTATCCTAACATTTTCCTCGGTCGATATGCGTTTCCATTTTAGTCACATCGATATTCGATTTCAAAGCGCCTCGGCTTGGGAGTATGATCCGTAATGTGTTTCCCATAAGACAGTCTGTAGAAAAAATAAATATAATAACAATGAAACCTGCGACTATTCCCTAATCAAATTTCTTGTGTAGGACGGTTTACTGGCCAACTGTGCCGAAATGATGATGGAAAATCTGGAAAGTGAGACAGTATGCCGATATTATGCAGCTGCGACACAATACGGTCAGCAGTCTGTTGAAACCAAATGCCTTGAATGGTTGGAAAGAAGACTTACATCAAGTGCCTCCGTCGAATTGCTCAAAAATATCGGGTATGTCAGAGTTTTTTCTAATATCATAGATCCATATATCATAGATAGTTATATAGTTTAATGTTTCTATTTCAATGCTTTAGGGACATTCACGAAAAGAAAGCTCACTATTTCTCTGAGAGACAGACATTAATACCATGTTTGCCTCTGTTTTAAATTTCATGCATAACTGTTGAGTTTTGTACAACATGCATATGATTAGCCATGATTCACGGTCCCTAATATATAGTCACTATGCAGATGCCAGCTATATTCATAGGTTTTTCCTTTTATTTTAAAAATAACTGTGAATTACAGTGAACTGTGAAACTGCTTATAGTAATTATTGCGATTAATCAAAGGTTATCTTCACCAATCAATACCCCCAGTTTTCGATGGTCACTTTTGCAGTGGCGTAGCCAGAACGATAATTGGGGGGGGGCATATTCATATATTCGTGATACGCAGGTTTAATTTCTTTTCAAATCAATTGTTTTTACAGTCTGTTAACATGAATATATGAATATGAGCCCCCCCCCAATTATCGATGCTGGCTACGCCACTGCACTTTTGTGATTGTATTAAAATTAAATATTGACTTTTTTTCAGCATTGACCTGATGGAAAAATTGATCAAATCCCCAAACCTCTTTGTAATGCAGATAGAAGTGGATACGTACAACCTGGCTAAGATGTGGATGTTCTTGAAACTGAATACCTCGTGGAAAGGGAACAAAAAAGACTTGCTCTCGGATTCGACGACCTACTTTCAGTTGCGGCCTGGTGACAGAGCGTTCCTGGAGACCGAAGAGGGATCGAAGTATACGTGTGTGTTTCAGGCGGTCAGACTGCATCACGTGATATGTGACGTAAAAGCCGTCCGACAGCTTGATCAGGACAAGATTGTACCAAGTGGTATATGAACTTGAACTTTTTGTGTAGTTAACAATCTAACAATCTAACGGTTTATTCAATAACGTTTATAGCCGTTTTCAACAGTAAACTCAAAACATTGAATCTTAGACAATAAGTACGTTTAGCGTATAGTAGAGGCACAATGTAAAACTTATTTATATCGACCCCCTTCATATAGACATGGCGAATATCTTCAAATGAAAATATTTAAAGCACGTATACTAATAGCTGCAGTATTCAACCTGTGCCTGGCTGCCTGCATGGTAGTACATATATGTTATTGACTGAGCGAGAGGTCCGTACAGGAGGATACTGGTCGAGTTCTTTCTTCGCTTGTATGTACCGAGCCTTTAGGCGAAGTCCATACAAGCGAAAAGAGAACGAGACCAGTATCCTCCTGTACGGACCGAACAAGCTCAGTCAATAAACTATTTATTATTATATGACTAAAAACGATTAAAATTCCCAACTAAAAAATTCCCGCCGAACCTGGCCGGTCCGTACTGTTGGTTACCGACCGCTCAGGAACCAATCAGAATGCTTGATTTTAGTTGATGGACCGATGAACTATTCTAGTCATATAATAAACCATTATACTTCGCACGCTTTTACTTCACCGTTCAAAGTTAAGCGTTCAGTTTGCTTTTAAGGCCTTTCTGAGCTTATTAATCTTTGTGCTTTAGATTGGTTGTCAAGTCTTTATAAACAACAATGGGAAAGGATGTTGTTAGCGTATCAAGGAATTGATGTCGGTCCAAGTGAGGATATGCCCGAGGAAAAATTTAATTCACTCGCCTTCCGCTGTGGTAGGATATTAGAAGGAGATATGCAGGTGAGTAAGAAATTTTTCTCACTTTTTTCGCTATATATATATACAGCTAGATATTTGATATATGCGTGAGGATAATCGTCAATGCTTTAAATGTAAAACGTACCGTACCTTGCGTAAATTTTGAGATACACCAGCTTTTACTAGGTGTTCAGTTTGCATGATTGCTGAGAAATTACAAAATTGCTGGGAAGGTACAAAACATTTGCTGTATAGTTATTCACTTCAGTTTTCTAGGCCTATAGGCTGAAGGCCAGGGTCGACGAGTGCGCTCTTCTCATGCGCTAATCGCGGACAAGGGTGAAAATACTGGTCTATATTTGCGACTTCGTCTCGGTTTAACATCCATAGCAGTCGATGACAAAATCGCAGCGAAATGAACTGAAACTTTACACTTCGCTATGTTCGCACCTTACGTCGCCATCATATAGCCGAAAACATTTATTAACAATATTTTTTATTAACAAATAACATTTAAAAATTTCAATTTTAATTTCTTAAAATGACAGAACTTGTCTACAAAATGCTTGTATTTTTAAATGAAAAGTATAGCCTCCAATGTCAGGGCATATATACTTTCATTTATATTAACTTTATTATATTAATTTTGAAACATGAAACGTTTTTAGTAGCTTTACCACCGTTCTTCAGGCATTTCACTACTTTGTTTCAGAAAAAAACAAACTAAGAACAACAACAATTTTTAAATACAGATAAACAACATTTTTGTAGTCAAAGATCTCACATTTAATACAATTGAAGTAAATTAAGCAGTATTCATCTTTGCATCGAAAAGTGAATGTGCATGTAAATGGTGTTATCGCCAGCTCTTGTAATTATTATGTAATTACTCCTTAAACGAAGCTTTTTAGATATTTGCATGAGATATCACGCTAAAAACCGTCGTTTTGCATTGGAATTAGACAAATTTGCAGCTTGTTGAAATTATTAGTTTCTGAGACTATTTGTCGGAATGTCTTGGTTAGCTTTTCAAAGGCTATATTAGAGTAGAACTCTATATAGAAGTTCATCCTAACACTATCACATCCTATAACATTATGACACTATACCAGGGTTTCCTCATAGGGGGATGGTAATGACAAAAGAGAGAAACAAAGAACTTTTGAAAACAGTACATAAAAAGTTCTATTAAAACAGATCCCTCCCTCCCTCGTGGTTGTCAATTGCAAGGGAATTTCCTTGCATTGTGGAAACCCTGCACTATATACCCACCTTTTCGTAAATCTTTATTCTCATGATGGATGTCATGAAAAGCCTTCGAAAAGTCTTTGAAATGAATTTGTACGATTGTGTCTTTCCCGTTTTTGGATTGAAATGTTCTATATTTTTCTTATATGTAGTACTGTTGGCGTTGGACGGGCTTTACCTACGGTGTGGATATTATCGTAACATACGACAGTCGAAAGAAATATCTAAATTTCAAACGTAACATGTATACCCAGCCATGTTCCACGGCTATATGTATGCAACTGAGACGAGATATTATGTGTAAGGTGCAAGTTGCCGTTTTTGACACGGAGGGTCGCGAAAGGTTCTACAGATGTTCCGGTCTTTTGCATACTAGTCTCGGACCGGACGAAGAGTTGTGTGCGTTGCATATTAACGAGGATATCGACTATCCGTTGCATGTTAGTGCGCATATAGCCTTATTGGGCAACGATGGCGGGCAATTGGAACAACTGGAATAAATAATGAATATAGAATTATTGTGTACAGAAAAGGCCTTAATGTTGGTGTAATTCATTTTCATGCTAAGAATTTAAAGTCAGAAGAGGGTGTCAAATAATGCGCAACGCGTAGCTACAATCCTGGTCAAAACATTGAAGACACTCAGTGTTAATTGACACTACAGTCAGCAGTCGCGGGATTTATTTCAAAATTATCCCCCTTTCCCCACAAATCAATGTTGAGTGATGTGTCATAACTCATTCAAGCATTTAGCATAGATTCAACATTGATTGGGGTGAGGGCGAGGGGGAAAATCGACAATGTTGATGTTTTGCGTTTAAAACTACATATCATTCAGAGTGTAGTTGATGGTTTTGGCCAGGATTAATAGCCGTTTGAGTTTTACTCATATTTGAATATATTTCAATATTCTTACTTTGATCAAATGCAAGGTTTCATAGGCCACCAAAGGCGGATCCAGGGTAAGTCAGTAAACAATAACTTAATCGTTTCCGTGTTTGGATGATCCAGACACGTGGATATGTTGCGAGAGTTAAAAAAAGCTCGCTGGACACGAGCCGAAGGTACGCCGATGGCGAGTGGTTTTGCGAGCTTTTCTAACTTAAACAGCATTGCCAAGTGTTAGGATCAAGCCATCTAAACGCGAGAAACCATTAAGTAATTGTTTTATAAAATAACAACAACAAGGTAGTGTTCCAAGTTTTTTATTTCCATGAGCGAATTAAATTTTCGTGTTTGGATGGCCTGATCAAAAACCGGGCTTTGACCAATCAGAACACACGTTACGTACATGTTATTTTATAAAATAAATTACTGCAGCTCTAACGTGCAATCATATTGGTAGATTTTTATGTAAAAATGTACTTTAGAAATGAATAACCAATAGCGTTGCTATTAAGATATTTCGTAATTGAATTTAGGCCGTGTAATTTATTCTGACTTACCCTAAATCCGCCGCTGTGGACCACATAAGTAAAAAATCAATTCGTGTAGCTGGAAAACTTCGACCCCTATTTTTTTTTCGCCCATGATATCTTACCTGGAAAAAACAAAATGTTTAGAGAAATGCAAAATGTCGCTTTCCTTCATAATTTTTGGTGTTTGGTGTTTTTTAGTAGTGTTCATGCAAAGTTTGAACATAGGTCACCAGCAAAACATATAGATATACATAGTGCATTATTCTTTTTTTTAAATGGAAAATTCCGAAACTCGCAGTAGCATAGCCACTGACAATTCGTTTCGCTATGCTAATAATTTTGTGTTTTATGTTAGAGAAGTTTATACATTTAGATTTACTTGCAAAAGAATTCCGCCTTCGCTTTCAATTCCGGCGCCTTCTGCATAATTACGAAGCCCAAATATAGGAAATTTATATAAATTATGCATCAAGATGTGGAGAGAAATATATATATAGGGTATTACACGTTTACGAGTAAATATATGGATTTTATGTTTGAGTGGCAAAAACAATTCGTGGCGAAACGTTCTTCGAGCGAACCTTGTAATTTTCTGCTTATTATATGGACTAAAATAAGAGTGACAAAAATACACATAATACGCCTCGAAAGACCATTATAAAAGCGGATATTTTTTTAATTTTAGCCTAAACTTTAAACTGTAGAATAAATTTTACTTATCTAAACATCTCTTTTAAGTATTTTAATTTGTACTTCCAACGTTAATTCCGTTGATAACAACAACAATGAAAATGGGGGAAAATTTTTTGAGACTCATTATGTCACCCCTAAACGTGACATACGGAAAACATCTGCACTGTACCCCGGATGTAGTGGCGTATGAGTTCTAAGATTGTTTTAGTCACCCCCATCCATTGTAGCGAACTGGGCTATATTGACGAGTTTGTACGAGGATTTAACGAACTCTGACTTCATCTTCTTAAGAACAATATAAGAACGAGATTCTTGACGGCGAAGTGAGAAAAGGGAGCAATTTGTGACAAGATACAAGTATTTTTATTAAAATTCTTTATTCCTTCAATGTTTTTGGTGATTTGCCCTGAATATGTCCTGGGAGGCGGTAATTCTGGACACCATATAATAAAGCTAGATTGCTTCATGGCTGGCGAGTGCGTACGATTTTTATGTAGCTACGAGTTGTTGAACGAGTGCAAAATGAAAAAACAACAACAAGCCAATCGTGTAGCGCTTTTTAATACAAAATATACAGCGAGCAACAAAAATCGAAATTTTCATCCAACGAATTAGTTTCCTTGTAATTTTGTTCAATGGACTGTTATATTATATTCATTCCGCGATAGAATTTATTATATGTATCGAAAATAAAAATGTACATGTCCCAAAATTTGAGAATTATGTTTTGAATCTCACTTCTATATTCGTCGCGATGTTGAAAAGAATTATAAACAAACTGCCGCCAAAATTCCATACTACAATTTTTCATGAGCGCGTCTGAAAATCGTACGTCGAAACAGAAACTGTGTACGACACATGGTGCATCTTTCTTTTCAAATCTAAAGTCTTTATATATCGTCGAGGTATAACGGCTATAGCAAAGATCAATATCCCGCTAACCACACAACCAGAAAATTGGTGTCAATCATGCATGCCTTGTCGGATTCATATCAAGGACTAGCATACGAAAAGCAATGATTTCACATTTATTACGACAGAAATTTCTAAGTACATAAATTGACATTCAATGTGTCTATATAGACTATTGCTAATGTTGTTTTATAATATATCATTGTTCCGGTTTAATCTTAGGAAAGTAGATCGACAAGATCGCCCCCCTCGTTGCCCGCTTTGTCCGACTTTTTTATTCGAATGCACTTGTTTTCATCGACATCGCACTCCAGTTTACCAGTCAGGCAATTATCGCATCCAGTGTCACACGACTTTTCATAATCTTTACAGAAAAGACCACCCTGAAAATGAATAGTTCGATATGTCACATTCCACCAAAGATCGGCAAAAAAATCTTTCTTCACATGCTGGCGAATTAAGCTATTGGATAAAAAGAACAATCGTGTGCTGACACCTTAATTTGTAACTGTATTTTGGTTTCGGGCCGGTAGAAATGCACTCCTAAGCACGATTTCTGTTTTATATTTTGAAGGACTTCGTTCCTATAATCACACGCACAAAATGTGAAATTCCAGTCCCCGCATAATCCAAATCCAATACATTGCATATCATTGCCTAGCAATCCAAGTTCCTTTTTGGTCCCATAAAGACACTTACTGTAGGAACATTTTTGAAACGAACCCTTATAATCGCGAAGAGTTGAATGCACATCAGGCAAGCGATTGACGTTTTAGGGGCGAACATATTCTATACTTACCCAACCACCGTGTGTTGGCACCAGAAGCAACGTGATATAAAATACGGCAAGCAATACAACCTTCATTTTTCAAGTGTCCCAACTGAAGCGCTGAACGATTATCTCAGAAAAAAATTGAGGTCCTTTAATATATTGCAGGCGAAAACCAATTTCGTTCAATCTATTCACAGTAAATTGGTCGAAATTGACGTTTAGAATGATAACAAATTAAAATATTACGCGGATATAAAATGATTGAAATTTAATTAAAATATATATTCAAACAGAAAATTCTATGCCTAAATCAGCGGTGGCTAAAGTTAGAGTTCGCTAAAGAAATATTTGCATATTTTTGGCGGAATAAATGAATTAGTTCAGCTTTATTGTTCTCATTTCAAACGAAAATGCACCATTTCAGGTTTTTAAGCTTGGATGCAAATTAACCCATTTCAGATGTTGTGATCATGGAATGGCCAATAAAACTTATGAATAACCATTTCAGACTATGTGTGCATGATTCAAATGGTTAATTTGCATACAAGCTGAAAGGTCTATTGGAAAGTGAACCTAAGGGAAATATCGGACGAACGTGAAGCTCGTAGTTCTTTTGTTAGTTTAGTCATTGTTGATGCCTGCACACGAGTTTGCCCAATCCAAGCACGTGATCAAGTTAAATTACATCACTAAGAACAGGATGGTCGCGAGGGGCTATGAGGGAGAATTAATTTTACACAATTGATAAAAAAGTTTACACATGCATATAGCGGCTATAAAGAGGTAAATGACATTGCAAAGTTGCATTGCATTAAAAAGCAGAATAAAATCAAATTAACCTAGATAAAATCTCCTCAGGTAAAATATTTTATTCATCAGGCTTACTTAAGTGAAAATAAATATAGTATTTCATCAAAATTCTGTTTAGGTGTAAAACTATAGTGTAAATAATTTTATTTTGGTGAAATTTTAATATTCGAATAAAAGATAACTGCGTAAAATTGGATTTTACAAATAAATTAAAAACATTAGTTTTGTTATATAAATATGAATCGCTTTTTGAGTTTAATAAAATCGTAATTACACTGTACTGTTTTTAATAAAATATTTTTTTTAATTAAAATATTGGTTTTTAATTGATTATAGATGGATTGTTGAGTTAAAAAAAAATCGTATATACGCTTTAAGTGCAAATTGTTGCCTGTTTCAGCATCCTAACTGAATTTCTGCAAAGATTTAGTTCAAATATTTACGGTCTTTAATGGTTTGTTGGTTTAAAATATGCCTTACTGTTAAAACTTACACGTATTCTACTCCTTTTAATTTGGAAGGATCTAAAAGCCTAACTATGTATATAGTTATTAATTTTAGGTTAAATTTATTCTTTAAATGGTCTTTTGATTCTTAAAAATTGATTTGCAAGCATATTGTTATAATTTAAACCCATTTAATAAAGGCTCTGTCAGGACAGGACATGTCTTTCACTTCATATACCGGTTTCGTTTAAGAAAGGTCCTTTTTAGGTTCAAATAAACGTCAATTTCTAATGTATATAATATATACTGTTATAGCTTTAAGAAGTTGCAGGTATCGTGTGAGAAAAAATTGTCTCTGTCCAATGACTCCAATCAGCAATAAAGTTTCAAATCAGGTTGTATAAACAACGATATACAACAAGTTGTTGACAACAACGCACAACGTTGTATTATTAATAGCGATAACACAAACTTCTCCTATATAACACAAACAGTAGACAAAGCCACACAGGATTTGAAATCGTATCAGAATGTTTTGTTACTTTCGAAAATCAGGGGATGAATGCGGCTGGATGAAATTTATGGTAAACAATAATTTCAAGTGACAGGCAGAAGAAAAACAGGAGTTTTATAGACTAGGTGGGGTCGAAATAGCGAAAAATGACGCCTGTTCTGGCGTTAACTCCGGCGTGCCCCGAACATGCCAGTTCTCAATATAAAATTTCTGAACATTAAAAATATACAGTTCATACTCATTTAGATGCCTTGCCAACTTCGCGAAATTTAAAAGCACATCGTACTAAGTATAGAAGTTCAATTGTTCAAAAATGTAAATAAACCGCATACGTTAACTTTGTTGTTCACTTTGCCTTTGGAATTCGCGCTTATATAGTTATATTAAATTTTCAATCCTGTGCAAACTGCGACGTGTTAACGCGCCCATACACAACCACATCTTGTTAAACGGCGAAATAGCAGCGATAATATTAAAATATAGGGCCAGAATTTATATGTATTAAATATATTCTTACCCCAATTAAATCTAAAGCATCAAAAGAACGGTTTATTTGTTCTTCTTGGGGGAATTGCCGTATCATGCGAGCGAAATCAAATCGCGCATCGGAAAATTAGCCAAAGCTGTGCACCACAACTCTTGGGAGACA